AAAACACTTTAATAGAAGGTGACAGATCCGTAATTGCATTAGGAGGCTACAGGAGAACATGGATACCATCTAGTGAGGGCTCTCGGTACTTCATTATGATTGCGCCTAGAATACACTATCCTGGTAACATAACATCCATAAAAGGATGCAAGACGACTCGACGATGACCGTAGGGTAATTGGAAATGTTTTATATATTTGTTTACAAACTAAAAAAAAATTCAATATTCAAATACATAATAATAGACGGCAACTCAATAGTTGAGGAGTCTCATTTTTTCAACATTGAAACTATGTTGTGGTAGGTTGATAGCACTCCGAAAACCTATTGAAGAAGTCCAACTCTTCATCATTTTAAGAGGGGTTAACAATGATGCCACATCTAAGAAATGTAATCCGAATATTCCCCAGTTGGAATCCACAATGTGCGGATTACATTTATTATGTAATCCTCACATTGTGGATTCATTTCTCTCCCTTCGTAGAGGGAGCCTGAAGGTCTACGAGGGCATCCAGAGATTTCCTCATCATCATCCTCGGAGCTTGGTGTTCCGCTTCAGATAGAACCCTAGGTGAAAATGTTCGATAGAAATCTATAAAAGTCTATGCTTTCCAGCAGGCTGTCTTCTGCTGTAAAGCAGTCGTGTTATCGCACAGAAGGTCGAGTACCACATGGTCGAATCCCATTTTGTCGAATGAAAATGTGCTCGAATTCCCATATTGTCGAAAGAAAATATTTCGAAAGGGATCTTTCGTCGAATGGACAAAACACATAACGCGACTTTAGTCGAAGAAAGGTATCAAAAGTCGAAGGCCATTCTGCGTCGCACAATCACGAATATCTTCGTCACACCCTCAGGGAAGACAGGCTGTCATTCTACCACTTCACGACCTTGACTTGACTTCCCCTCTTTATAAGGGACTTCTCCATTCAAACCCTTTCAGCTAGCGAATCAACTTGCGAAGGCATCTTCTTGGTACGGTGATCATGCCCCAGTTTTTGGCAACATCTTTTCCCCTGGTGTATTGTATCGCGGGAGGAAAGGTCGAAATCTGCTACGAAGCAATGCTTAAGGGAGTTCTGCAAGAGATCCAGAGGCTGGACTTTCACCTTTCTGTGAGCCATTTCAATACGGACTTTGAAAGTGGGATGATTGCAGCAGTGAAGTGCAATCACGTATCACTTCTGCTAAAAAAAATTTGGAGGAGAGTCTAAGCTGCAGGACTTGCAACAACATATGGACAAGATGAAGAGTTCTCCTTGAATATAAGGATGTTGGCCTCACTAGCCTTCGTTCATGTGGCTGAAGTAGTCCAGGCATTTTATACCCTCCTCCCCGATATGCCTGAAGACTCTTTAAGCATGGTGACAGGGTTTCGGGACATTACATCGATGGTCGCCGTATCCGAGGGCGTCCAAGAGCGAAGGTTCCCTATCCACCAGCCCTTTGGAACGTGTCCGACAGAGTTCTCCGTGAAGAGCCACGAACGAACAATAGCGTAGAAGGATGGCATCGAAGGTTTTCAGCAGTTGTTGGTAAATCGCATCCAAATATTTTCCTCTTTCTTCAGGAAATCATGAAAGAACAGACTTTACGAAGCGAGAGATATGCGTACTGGAAATTGGTCACCCGCCAAAGATATGTAAGCGCATGGATGAAGCGAAAGATAAAAAAAACTTGAAACCGTGTGTCATGATTACGTCAACAGGGACACCCTTGGATTTCGTAAAAGCATTGCCCACAATCTCCGCCTCTAACTCGGTAAATTGCCGACAGGCATATTTCAGCAGACATGACATACTTGACATAATATGACTTCAATAATAAAAGCGAAATTCGACCTTCTGGGATTCTACAATTTGTTCTTTCTACCTTGTGTCTTTCGACATAAGAAATTTCGACAATACGAAGTTCGACAAAGAGTCCTTTCTACTAAATGACATTTGACGTTTTGTCACCAATCCCCGTTCAACTGACCGATTTTGTTCGAGTCAAGATTGTTGTATTACCATATCAAATTATGGTAACTTCGATTTAATGCTTATTCCATGTCGGAACGGTCCGTCACATGCATGTAATCGTGATTACCGTGACCTCTCATTGGTGACAGTGGCTATGGGATATCGAGAGGTCATGAGATTACCACTCGACATCGTCGAAGACCGAAATTTCGTCACTACAGGATGGTCAGAAAGTCACAATCTATTTTATTGAAAAACTCAAAATTCTTGCAAAAATGCATAATGTACACTATGTGTCAATAATGTGTCACTAATGTGTCAATAATGTGTCACTAATGTGTCAATAATGTGTCACTAATGTATCAATAATGTGTCACTAATGTGTCAATAATGTGTCACTAATGTGTCAATAATGTGTCAATAATGTGTCACTAATGTGTCAATAATGAAGTAAATAAAACCGGTGGTGGTAAATTAAAAATCAATTATTTAAATTTTTATACTGAAGTTCCACATGACCACCTTCCAAATCGATACATTACTGCAATCGATCTGTTGTTTCCCTGAATATTCAGGATGTTCAGCATGTCGGGTTACGGTGTTAACAGCAACATAGATATCTTACATCTTCAACATTGAGATCCTTTCTGCCGTAAGCCTTTGACTTAATGTGCCCCCATGCAAAAAGTCCAAGGGGGTTAGGTCAGGTTATCTTGAAGCCAACATTCTGTTTGACCCTCGACCAATGCAACGGTTCGGGAACTTCGCATTAGATAATCTCGCACAATGTTCGTGAAATAAAATTTTGGTAAATAAAATTCTCAGCTCGCTACTGCTGGGAAGTGAGCGTAGGGTGGTAGAGAACGGTATTACGAATCTTGCTTTTCCTTTCCCCATTTTTTTTCCCTTGCCAATATTCCACCTCCCTGGCCGTGTGAGGCGAGTGAGGTTCGTGCAGAGGCCTCATCTTGTAGCCTATACCCAGGTAACACAGAACATTCAAACAACATGGATTGGATGTGGATTGAGTGTGCGAATGTTGCAGGTTGAAGGTGAACATTGTGTCAATGTTGATACAATGTCGTCGCATCACATTGTGGATTCCAATTGGGGAATATTCTGATTATATTTATTAGATGTGGCATAATTGTTAACCCCTCTTAAAATTGTAAAGGGTGGGATCTCTCCAATAGGTTTTCGGAGTACTATCAACCTACCACAACATGGTTTCAATGTGGAAAAAATGAGACTCCACAACTATTGAGTTGCATGCCGTTTATTTGAATAATGATTTTTTTTAATTCGGAAACAAATACATAAAGAATTTCCAATTATCCTACGGTCATTGCGGAGACGTCTTGCATCCTCTTATGGACGTTATGTTACTAGGGTAGTGTAGTCTAGACGCGATCATAATGAAGTACCAAGAGCGCTCACTAGATGGTATCCATGTTACCCTGTAGCCTCCTAATGCAATTACGGATCTGTCACCTTCCATTAAAGCGTTTTCTTCCCACTTTCCTCTTATTATTACGTAATTAATGAACACATATATTAGAAAAATGTAGAATTATGACGTTCTGATTGAAGAATCTGATTCTGAAACAAATTAAATGTCCAGGTTTAGTGTGAGCGCATAGAAGTCTAGGCGATTGGAGACGTGTAGAGCACACACAAGAATAACCTGAAGTGATCCAATCACAAAACTTCTAAGAGAGAAGCTGAGAGAATTTATCCTCGTGTTGCAAACCGGTTGGGCATACAAGGCTTTGGTGCTGTTTGCAGAACTGAAGAGTACACATCCTCTCGAACTTCTCAGTACTCTGTGGGTACTGACCTATAGATACTGAAGAGGGTTTATCCTTTTTTGTATATGTAGTTCATCATCCACAGGTCATGCGATTCATTTTGATGAATTTACCTCTGCTTTATCCATGGAGAAACCCAATCACGAGGGACTCATTGAGGAATGTTGAATGAATGTTGCCACAATATATGTTTCAACATTCCATTTCAATGTTGAAACAATGTTGACAAAAATGACATCTTCACATTGAATCAATGTGGCACCTCAATGTTGTTTCAACAATATAAATGTTGCCATGAAACATTGTTTCAATGTTGTTTCCACATGGATGTGTTACCTGGGCTAGGGCGCCTCCTGTTTCATGTTCCCGAAGTTCCCGATGAATTCATTTAAGAAGTCTTCAGCAAGATTGACGATGCGTCCAGAAAAATCTTTGCTGTCGAATGGGACGAAAATGCTCCTCCACCCATGAAGGAATTTTTTTAAATTTCTTTTAGATTCTGGTGCGGAATTTTAACCTCTTCGCGAAAGTGCGCAGCCATCGATCAGTTACGAATGAAAGAAGACAGAGCAGAGTCATTAGAGTTTCTGGGACAGAGCAGAGTCACTAGAGCACCCTGTATGTATGCCTGCGAGAGGATCGCACTCGCTCGCATGTTTTAAGCGTTGGAACGTGATGGGACCGTACAAATGCCACAAGCCTTCGAGTTGGCTCTCCCTTTTCTCTGGCAGCAGAAATAGATGAGAAAGAGGAAAACGTGAAGGTCGCACTCGTGACTGCTGCATGTCACGATCCTCTTCGGAAGGAACGACATCTCTCGGTCTGTCAAAACAACGGCTCCTATAAAGAACTCGAACTTTGAATCCCCAGGTGATGGTGGAAGGCATGGAGTCTATCGTCACCATAAATTCCGCACGTTCTCGGATCTCTTGCTCCGTGCTACTTCGAATTTGTTAAACGAGAAGCTTCCGTCCGATTCTTGGATGATATGCGTGACTTGTGAAAACCCCTCCTCTTCTTTCCCATCGTTTCCGACCAATAAATAAATACCACTAGCTTACGCCAGTAACTGCCGTCGTTGTCATGATATCACCACACCCTTAAAGCAAGTTACGAAATCTTCTCAGAGGGGGGAGCGGTCACTTCAGTTCTGTCTCCCGGCCTTACTGTGCACGCTGCATAAAATGGGCTTCATCGCTGTAATTATAGACCCTTTCAAATTTCAAGATGGTTTAGTGGTACAGTATCGAGAGGCGATAACACCCATTTGATTACCACGTGTCGAGGTCGAGCGTTCCTTAACTTTAGGGTAGGCCTACTCCTGGCCTGCTTTCAACCTTTTGAAGTTAATGTCTAAAGAGCATTTAAATTTGGAATTATTTATTTACTTTTTGTTGAGTAACATCTCCGTTGGACACTGTGCGGGGGGGTCAACTCATTTGACAACTCTGCGGATGACATGGCTGCACCGAATGAGTGAGGTGGGGTGTGAGAGTCATGCCGGGTGCGGTCTATGTTGACCAACATGTGTGTCTATGGGGCAACCCTTTCCCTGTTGCCCCGGGGGATCAGTTGCCACAAAAAGTAAGTCCTGTGCCTGCAGCTCTGGTTTTCCTTGGATTTTACGAACGATTCTGGTGGTGTCTTTTTTTTCTTCTGAACTCTTAACTTAGTTTATTGGAGATTTGTTTCCTGTAGAACATCAAAGCCAGAATCCGATGTGTTGAGTGTGATTCAAAAAGCGTATTATACTTTAATGTATGGATTATTTTCTGTCGAGACTGCTTAAAGCCCATGTGCCTGCCAAAAAAATATGCCACCCAGGACATATTGTAAGGAAAAGTCAGAACTGCACAAGTGATTATAACCCTTATGTAGGAATGGTTGGTACAGTGCTGTGTACCCCCTCTCCCCCCCCCTTCCACCCTTGAGCAAAAATTTAGGAAGAAAAATTAGATTTGGCACCATTTTAAATTCGAATTTGTGTTTCAAATTGTATTTCTTACCCAATTTTGAACTACAAAAATTCCAATTCAGATCTACCCATATCTATTACAACTGCACATTAATATAAGCCCTGATGCCACTGATGGATGTTTCATAATAGTATGGTTCTTCCTGAAATCTGCATCTCTGTATGTACCTATACATAAGCCCACTCAGGTTTTCAGAGGCCAGGGGCAAAACTAAAACAAGAGGTCCTTGCAGGCCACTATATGGACAGGGATGGCTTGATGGGCCTTTTGGGATCTTGGCATTGGATCTCTTAGGAGGTCTCCTGAGGGCCCCTTGATATGCAAGTCCAGGGAAATATTGTTTCTTGTGCCCTCCTCTGGTCAGGCCCTTCTATGTACAAAGTTTCAGCTTTCTATTCCTCTCAGTGTCACAGAAGTGGAAGCATTTATTGTAAAATGCCTCCATAAATACTGTGCCCCCAGGGGATGTGCCTCTAAGGTTAGAACATTCCTAAAATCAGCATCCTAACAGATACTCATATACCAATTTTCATCTTTCTATCATATCTAAAACAAGGTTAGAATTAGCATCCATCAGTCATGATCACCTAAATATATTAGATACAGGGTGTCCATAAAGTAACTTGACAATGATTTTTTTGCTCATCGCCGACATAATTTGACATTGCCATAGTCTTAAAGAGGACTACATTTTTTATTCCAGAACACTAATGATATTCATTTTTCTCCATCCCAGGTACCTGAAAAACGAATATTTTGACAACTGCTGAAAATGCTCAGTTTCTCCCAAAGAATAAAGATCATCGAGTGGTATTTTGAGTCAAAATCTGTGGCAGAGACATTGGCAGCGATTCATAGGGGCTTGGGAGGCTCAAGCCCCCCCCCAAAATAGGTTGGAATTAAAAAATCTTGATTGAAAATCTTTATTTCTTTTTTTTTCCCATAGACATCCATTCAGCCTTATGAGCCAATTATGAAGGACCTGGTTCCTGAATTAGATTGTTTTCATTAAGCAATTGAATACTTCAGCTTTATGGATTTGGATTGATTTTGCAACTCTTATATTCTAGGCAATTTCATTATATTATCTCCATCCTTGTACTATATTTTGTACTGCAAATTTTGCATTCATTCTGGGTATTTGAAATTGTCATACTTGTTATGCTCTTGTTTCATAAGGTGGGAGTCAGCAATCCTAGGTAGCTTTACATTTCTGACATATAACTTCACTTTCTTTATCAATTATTTGACAAAAGTGAAACTGAATAAAGTTTTCATAGCAGATTAGAAAGAGATATTTAGGGTGTTCTCTACAGCCTGCAAAGCTCATAATCCTAATACTTCTTCTTTGGAGCACTTAAATTTCTTGCAAATACTTTTTTAAATATGTATTATGGCATATTTATAAACAGTAAATTTTATGGTGATGAATTAGTGTGAAGCAGATGCTTCTTAAGAGTGACCATTGAATTACATAGTGTACTTTACTAATCACCCCATTAGTTTTAGCCTTTTTTTGTGTAGATTTGGTGCATGTTTTTGTCCTAAACAAGGTTTCTGTAAAATATTACCCACCAATACTTTACTTGATCTACTTATAAAAATTTCCCTATCTAAGAATAATTTTTACCACCTGTTCTAGCATTTATCCTGCTTTGTATGAACATAAGGTTAGTGAACTCCAATTGGCGTGAAAAGTGAAAATGTCCACTTGTCTTCCAGTTTTGGCATGGGCATATGGTGAATGCTGCTGAAAGAATGGGAGAGAAATGGCCTTCAACATATCCATGATTTGATGACAGGCTCAAGATGGATGCTATAGTAGAAGGGGAACCTGGGACTGGGATTCGTACTAATATTGTCTTGCCTATTTCACTTCTATCACCTCCAGTGAAAGAAATGATGACAGTCATCATGAAGATTTCCATTCCATCCTCTTCTGCTTCTTCAGGTAGTCTTGTGTGAATCTTGGGTAATTTGATGAGTGAAGCCTAACTTTTATGGACCACAACAATGAGGCCATGCATGAATTTATCTAAGAAATTTTGAATCATCTCTTGTGGATGCTGTTTTTTTTTTTCTTGGATAGAATTTTTCCCCTGAAACAAACCGAGGCAGTCATATTTATACTTGCAGAAAGAATATGTTCTTGGCTCGTTTGAGCTTTCACATTTTCAAAACCTAGGAGAGCTAATGAAAGGAAGAATACAAAGATCTTGGCCTGCCTAGGGTTTGATTGAAATGGGCATTTAGAAGGCATATTGGAATGATCCTGAATGCCCTATCAAGACATGTAAAATCTTATTTCTGACATACCCTCCATCTCATGTAATATTGACTTTGGTGAATAGGGAAAAGAAAGCTGGTCAGAAATGTCAGATAGCAGGAGCAGATTTCACATCTAACAACAGTTCACCTTGTCGTGTATCTAAGTCACAGTGACTTGTGCTTCACCAAATATACAAGGTGTGATCCAAAAGTTCTCAGACTGTGGCAATAAAACGCAACAGCGTGAACCTACCTCTTAATATTTGTTATCACCTTCGAAGTAGTTCCCTTGTGCATGTATACATTGGTTCCAGTGACCTTTCCACCTCCTGAAGCAAGCTGCGAAGTTTTTTGAGATGGCGTTCAGTTCTCATGTTGCATTTTCTTTAATTGAATTGATGGCTTCAAATCTCATTCCTTTCAGAGGAATCTTCAACTTTGGGAACAGGAAGAAGCCGCAGGGTGCCATATCTGGAGAATGCGAGTTTCCAGATATGACTCCCTGTAACTTGAAGATTCCTCTGAAAGGAATGAGATTTGAAGCCATAGATTCAATTAAAGAAAATGCAACATGAGAACTGAACGCCATCCCAGAAGAAGACTTCACGGCTTGCTTCAGGAGGTGGAAAGGTCGCTGGAACCAATGTATACATGCCCAAGAGAACTACTTCAAAGGTGATAACAAACATTAAGAGGTAGGTTCACCCTGTTCTGTTTTTTATTGACATGGTCAATGCATAATATTTTTCTTGCAGCTCACTAGGCACGCTGTTATGATGTGTTCCTTTTTTTTTTTTGTTTAGGGGAAGAACGTGACTGGTACCTCCAGAAACTTGGAGCCTTAGCAGAGGTTTCCAGTGCTTATATTGACAGAGTGAAGAGCTTCAATGATGAAGAATTTAGTGATTGTGTTGCATGGACAGGAAAGGAGAGCACTCACATACTCTTGCAGTGTAGAAGGGATGCTCAGACAGGAGGAGTGCAGTCTCTTCTCTCACTCCTTCTGGTCTCCAGTCACCTAGAGAGGGCTCTGGGAAATGTGAGAAGAGTGCTCAATGATTCCTACCATTTGCACTGTACTTTTCATCATTTTAACCCCTTTGCTCCCTATTTCTTTCTTCACTTTGATTGTGTAGTCTAGTATATTTCATATTCTTGACTTTTACTCTGATGCTTCTGTGGTGAGCCTGGGAACTACGTCAATATTTTTTGCACTGATAAGTGCTGACATCTAGTGAAAATTTGTGCAATTTTTAGAAAAGAGCTCAGAATGGCAATCTGTAATCAGAAGCAACATGGTCATTTATTTATCATGATGACATGTGATTGTGATTTATCATCAGTAGTAACCATGGGGGATCAGCACTTTTCTTTTAAGACTATAAGTAACTACTGATGCAATTCTTAGCCTGTCATAATAGAGTATTTTGCTAGACCATTAATGCTACAAGACCTTCACTTCCACTGTTGAGCTGACTTTGGTATACATGAGATAATTACTACTAGCCACAATGAAAGTTGAGGAATGCCATTTGCCTTGTGAGATTCAGTAGTTTTTTTCATCACCCCTTTCAGAATTGCATACCATTCTGTTTATGGATTGGCCAGAATTTATAGCCATTCCAGAATTTATCTGGGCCAGACAGTTTTCACTTTGGGAATAGAGTTTAAGAATTGCCAAACATGCTCAGCTCTTCCATATGCTTGGTTCCAGCAGTCAATGGATTTCATTTTATTATTTTATTATTCATTTCCATGATACTAGTGCAGTATCAGTGCTTTAGAAACCTTGGGGAAAATATTATGCTTTTGCATTTATTTATTTGTGCATACAACTTCACTGTTCATTCCAGCATGTTGATGTTTTGGCTCATTAGGATAAGCCCACCCTGGGGTTTATGAGCTTACAAGAAATAAAGAAACTCCAAGATTCCTGTTTACAAATATATTTTGAAGTCATGCTGGAAGTTATGGAATCAAGAAGCTATCAAACATTTAGGATTGTATGAATTTCTTGAGCTTATGATTCCCCATTTCCATAGGCTCAGTGAAACTCCATTTTAAAATGAAATGCCTTTGACATTTCTATGGTGTTGTTTCTTCATAACTGCAGGATAGATTCCATTCTTGATCTTTTTCTGTACAGTGATTATTGCTAAATAGTACCTATAGTTATATGTTTTTGTTTCTTTGCAGGTCTACTGGCAGATGGATAGGTCAGTACCAATTCATATGAGAGATCTCCTTAGCAGTCCACATTTAAAAGCCATCTTTGAACCTGATTTGGTAAGTTGAATTTCGATTTTCTTACAATCAGTTTTGACTCTTTTGAGACAAGCTTCTCCTTGTGAGACATTGCCCTTAAACATATGCTGATTGACATCATTTCCATATGTTTAGCTGTACAAATTGTTCATATTTTTATTAAAATTACTCTCTTCATGGTAGATGTATTCAAGATATGATCTATGATTCTCTACACTGCCTCCTGTTCACAAATTATGTGTGCTTGAATGCAGGAGAACAGGATACTAATTTGGTCCATCAATAGGTTCTTTATAAGGTATTCTACTGTTGCTTTTCATTGCTTAGACCTGAAATTATTCTGTATGATTTTTGAAAAAGGATTTGAGTTTGATGAATATAAATTCAGTTCAATGAAGGTATTTTCACTACTTGAAAGTGTTTTGCTTTGATGTTTTATTTACTTGCTTCCTGCTGGTGACTAACACTGAATTTAGTACAGTTAAAGTGACTATTAGCTCCTGTCTGTGTTTGAGTCTCTTGAAGCAGTTGTGGCAGAAGTATGACATTAATGAAATTTTTAAATATATATTTCTTGATTATTATTTGTTTGCAGATATTGACACTTGCCCCCTTTGGATACTTGTGTCTTCTATAGATGGAGATGCTTCAAGTATTGGTGGGACCACCTGTTTCATTGAATCTGAGAAATCTAGTATGGCATGGGTTCCTCTCCCCATCAGAAGCATATCCTGTTTTGCCTCTATTACTCATCCATGCCATTATGGAACTCGGATCTTCACTACAGAGACACACTGACATAAATATCATTCCAAGACCTCCAGCTGTGGTTTCTTCTGAAATTCCTTCATGCCCTACTCTTGATCTACAAGTATATCTCAAAGATATACTTTCATCTCCTTATGTGATGTCAGAGATGAAATGTATTTGGCTGGCTGCCTGTGAATATGCATTGAGCCAAAGGTGAGGATATTTTTCTGCTCGCATGCAGCGAGATTCACTGTTTCATTTTCTCATTGCTGCCAATATGGGTGCTAGTATCATGGCAAGTCTCTTGTTTTGAACATGATCCTGGGGCTTTCACATGCAGGGCAGTTTTTGGATAGCAAGAAAGCATCAGCTGCAATGCAGCAATGTATTTCGTTGGGTTCAATACAGCATCAAATGGCTGGAGATCTTGATATTTGCATGTTGATGGAGATGAATGAATCTAAAACTGAGTAATATGTGGCTATAAAATTGTTGGACTGCCGTGAGATTTCTTTCTGAAACCTTTTGCTATGTTAAGATATCTCACTAACAATATAGAATGATGTAGACTATTCCTATTGGCAAAAACAAGAGGAGGAAGAAAAAAAAAATTACTGATGTGAAATGGTGGTTTGTGATTTTTGGGAATATCTTGAGATACACTAGTAGTAGAAATTGCAAGCAGTTCTATTTGGGCCATTTCTATTATGTGCTTGCACTTTTCTTATCATATGGAAGCTTTTCTTTTTTGCAAGTAATTTTTTCCATTGAGAAGATATCAAAACAAAGTTAGCATGGACAAATATAGGAAGGTTTCAACTCCAAACATTTTTAGATTCAAGTTGACTTTAGTTTCAGTGTGACTTGTACCAAACTGAAATTTTTTCCATTTAAAAAATGCTCATTGTGTGCATGGATGAACTGTATTATGTATATTATGGTTATAGGTCTAATTTGCTTTGTTGCAGGTATGGAGAGAGCATCATCCTCCTGCTGCCACAGTTAGAATGTAGTCTCCGAATCCTTTATTGTGAGGTGAATGGTTTACCTGGAAGAATCATTACTGCTGAGCAAGATTCTCTTTATTTGACTTTTGATGAAATGATGCTGAGACCCAAGAAGCTTGCCAGGCTTCTCCCATCGAACATTATGGAAATGCTGTTGGATCTGTTAATCTATCCAGAAGGCCCTCGGATTCGAGACAGGATCAGTCACGCAGAGGTGTGCCTCTCTGAGGTGCCAGAAGGCCTTTGCACGTTGAGTTGGGCAATATCATTTTGTGTTGTGGCAGTTGGATCTCATCAAGAACTGCCTCCTCATATTCATGCCTTTGTAGATGGCTATCAAAGTCATTTCCATCCCATTTCTTTATGGAGAGAAGAACTTGTTCAAATGGATCTGCTAGTTACAGAATGGTGCCAAGCTTCATCTTTAATGGAGGGATGGAGTAATGAATTCTGCTCTGTACTCCAGCTTTTCTGTTTTTCTTTTGATGACATGAGTCAACCAGTGAAGAATGCATTGAATGAGATGAACTTGAGAACTCTTTATAGACCAAAAGCTGAAATGTCTTTGGTAAAATGTCTCAGAAAAATTAATGTTTTGGGCCTTGATGTGATACGGAAGACAAAAGAAAGTTTGGCATTTGTCGAACAACAACTTTCTTCCCCCACGGTAAAGATTCGGAAGCTAAGGAACATTTTGCAGAGGGACAGGTCCTTACCCATCATCATAAAATTTCTCAAGTTGGCATCATTACTGCAGATGCATCTCGTGATTGAGTCCCAGAGGTCTTCAGTTTCCACTCATCATCTCAAGTATGTTGAAGTACATTTTGCAGAGCATATTTTCTGCCCTTCAAACTTGTATGTACAATGCATTGAATACATGTTATTACTTAGCTCTAAAACTCTATAAATGCTATCCTGATGAGAAGTTGTAAGATTATACACTAAATATCTTTTGTTTATACATTGGACTTGCTGCATGAGAACAAGCAAGCATGCTTGCATTATCAGGTAGATTTCAGAAGCACCAGGTATATAAAGTGAACAGAAAACAGCTGATTGGCATCATTCAATAGAATATACTATCATCTTTATGAAACATGCAACTGAGGAGCAGAGATTAGATTCATAGATTCTGGACTTTCCTGAAACTGGCACAGGAGATGAAACCAAACCTACCTAATGCCCTATAACACATGAAATTTTTTTAAAACAGTCATACTTTGGGTGTGAAACATGATGCAGGCACCAGCTATCATGTATCCTGATGGATGCATGATGCAGTCATAGGTCCTGTTGCATTATTGGGTGGTCCTTCAACATTGTCATCATTTGCCCGTTGTGATTCTTGTGAGCTGTTGAAAAGAAGTTTCTCTTTCTGCTGTAGGTGTGGAGATCACCTCCTTCAAGCAATGCAAAATATTTCCAAATATGTGTCCAAGGAGAAAAACATGTGGCTGGAATGTGAAAGTGTGACGTGGAACATGCTTGAATTTGTGAAGAAGTGCCTTTTAAAAGATCCTTGTGAACGGAGCACAAAAGGAATAAATCCAAATGTATAAGACATAGTGTGGTACTTCTCTGCTGGTCTTGTGCACATCCCTGTTGCAGTAGACCTTGTTGCATTCTGCATGAATATAAAGAATAGCTTGGATCTTGAGGAAAAAGCTTAACATTTTGACAATCACGGGGTGCAGTTTTCATATAAGTGGAGTAAAATGTTTGATACAAAATTGTACCTTGTACCCTAACAGTACCTTCATACTCTCTCCTTGTCTGGACTCTTCCTTTTACTAACCATGGTCACTGTCGCTTAATTCACTGGCAAAAATAATAGAAACCCTTACCTAATAGCACATAGCTATTAGATAAGTCTTGCTATTATAGCTAATTAGCTGTTAACCATGAAACATTCACGTCTTCTTAATTGAGATTAGTCTACTTCTCTCCCAGGGCGTTCAAATGAGACACAGTTGAAATTTTGAATAGCCAATTTCAGATAAATAATATTGGGTGCGTCCCATCAACTCCCCCACTTCCTGCCAGAATTTCCCCCATATGCCAATTTTCAGAGAATTCTATTCCATAATATTCAAACGAGACACACCATGCGAATTTGGAACACTCGGGTATCAGATGCATAGGCGCCGACTTTTAATAAGTATTGGGGGGGCAAGTTCCTATTGCCCCTGAAGTAACAACGACGCAGTTATTCCAGGATCCATTGGGGTAGTCCAGTATTATTATGGTAGCATAGTGACGAGCGGAGGGGGTGGGTGCTGGGCATGGCCCTTCCACCCCATACCCGTACGGGGTGACTATGGGATCTCCCCCAGTTGGAGCTCAAAACAGAAAGGAAAATCATACTTTTCATTTCTTTCGTGAAGCAGCATTTTGTTTTCAATTTTCCATGTGCCTTTGTTGAAATTTTGCCATTCTTGGGGGGGGCGTTGCCCCCTCAATAATATAGTTGGGGGGGCACGTGCCCCTTTGCCCCCCTGGGTTCGGCGCCTATGATCAGATGAAGAAATGGGGTTGCTGTCCATCCACAGAGATCCCCAATTTCCTTAATATTTTTCAGAGAGTCCTGTTTCATGGAGTTCCAAAGGGGTAACGTCCGAATTTCTAAGAGCCACACTTTGGATCGGACACAGGAAATGCGTTCCGTTACCTGGAAACCCCCTATTGTATGTATGGAAATTTTCTGCGAGTTTCGCCCCGTATGATTCAAGTGAGGCATGCCGCTCGAATTTCGAGCACCCGGGTATTGGATGAAGGATAAGGGATGATTTTTCGTCGTGCACGGGATGCGAATCGGCTCGATCAGACCTTCCCGACCTACGAATTGGACGTGCGGCTCGGTCTCCGATCAAGTTTCCGGTCGAGTCCGGGCGAAAACGCAATCAGAGGGCGTGTCGTTTTATTCAGCTGCTGGCGAAATAGACACCTCCATCCGTCGGCTGCTCGATACGACTGCGTCGTTGAATGACGTCACACTCGGGTAAGCTGTGCCAGCGGAACGAATTGAACTGTGAGCGCTGAACAGGCCAGCACGAATGCGACGTCACGGGATGTTGGGAAAGACAGCTGAGCCAGCAGAGCCGCCAATAACACGTACCCAGAGACCTCGAGTTCTGAAGCCTAGAGGCCTAAGCGGGCTGCGGGCCGGTCCGATCGGCCCGACGATCGAGTTTCGGGTGGGTGAAGAAAAAATCACTCGCGCAGGCCCCCGGCGGATGGGAGGAATGACAGACAGAAAAGTCGGCTATCTGCACACAATAACGACCTGCATTATTATATAGATAACGCAACAAGTGCACCAACGGCTTGGGGTATTGGTATTTATTCCCACGTAGCATCACCGTGCGACATCACGTAATGGACCGATTTTGCATTGTATGCATGCAGGCCGGGAGCATCCATCGTATTTCACTGGGAGTCTATTATTTTGCTCAGTTTGTATATTTCTGGCTGCGCTCACAGGATTAACTAGTGGATCTGGCCATTCTTGTTAGGAAAAGAACCTTCGAAGGTAGTCTGAAGGCCATGCCAATGCAGCCATGGGCAAAACATCTGGCTTTTTCTGAAAGCAGCCCCCAATCCCCCCTCCCAACGCCACGCCGCTGTCAGGTGCTACGATGCTTCTGTCGACGGTGACCAGACTCGGATGACGCGTTTCGCTCTAGAGTTTCACACTGGATCCGTCGTCGTTCGGGATGATGGTGCTTCTCATCCGGCAACCCTGGGATACGGAACTCGAACCTGCACGTTAAACCTAGATCAACGACAGCTGATTTCAATTTTCGTAGTGAAATGGTGCATCGCAAACAACAAAAAGGGCACTCTTCGTGATTTTCAAGTCGATATCTTTCTTTTGCCTAGGGTACTTTCTCCGAAAACACCCCAGTGAGGGGGGGGGGGGGGAGAGATTTAAAATATCGGAATGAAATTGACATCTTGAAAAGGTGAAAATTATTGTTTTCCACAATCCCGAGGAATTATAGCTTTAAATTTGCTGGAGTGATTCTGTGTTAGAGGGTGCTTGACATGTCCGATTTTATGACGGGAAGGGGGAAAAGAAAGAGGAATAGGCGAATGCATGTAGAATCTTTCTATTTAATTTATTTATTATCGTGATGTCTAGAGACCTTTTGGGTCTCGAAAAACGTATTGTAGGGTTCCTGGAATTTTTGTTTTGTTTTTACTCTCGTAGTGTTGCAGGGTTGGTACAGTCACTATTAACTTCCACGAGAGGAAATATTTTGAATATTTGTCCTCGTCACCCTTTTCCTTTTCCAGCCTTTTTGCTCGAAATCACGCCTCCGAATGAAAAAAAAAAGAAACTTCTAAAGGTACAGAAGAGAAATGACGACTGGAATCGGCCCGAAAAACGTGTTCATTAGTGGGAATCGGAAAACGCTTCGCCGTACATGTAAGTATTGAAAATGGACGCGATTCACATCTGCTCGTCCTGCTTTCCAACCTTGCAAGAATGAATGAGCGATTATGGCTTAACCTAAGGAGGACGTGAAGGGTGGAAGTTTCTTAAGAAAAAGAGATGCATGGAATGCGTGATCGTTATGATGGAAAGGAGTGGCATCGGTTCCACGAGACCGAGAATTATTTCACGCTAGCAACACGAATGAGAAGCGGGAAGACGCGTCGAAGGTAGACGGCAGGGCAAAGTCCGTGGTGAGGAAATGACCCGAGAGGATCCTTTAGAGATTCACGAGGAAGATCGAGGGTCGAGACCAGTGAAGAAGGTAAAGCCCGTTCTAGGCGTGAACGCACGGATCGGGTAGTCCGTGTCGGGTTACCATACGTCCGGTATGTACTCTTTCTTCCCTTTTCGTCTGGGAGGAAGGTCCTCCCATGGGTTACCATAAGTCCGAATATTTTCTCTGGACACATCCTCCTCCCTCGCCTTCAAATGTCGGTCCGATTGCTTGGCGTTCTCGTTTTGGCCGTCCGAAATATGGTAACCCTAAGTCTGTCTCAATCGGCCCAGCGAGTCAGACGACCTAAACGTAACAAATACGAGGGGCCCTTTTATACCTTGCCGAGGAGGGCATGACCGGAGTGCATGACGCAATCACAAACGGGTCGAAAATCTAAGCTGTGAAACTCCGAAAATGCAAAAGCGAGTATATCAGATTTACTTAGCAGGCCTTCTCGCACGGAACAGTCGGCTATGGCTCGGGTCGGGGCAATGGCTCCGGTGGCGTGCCACCATTACTAAATAATTTTTTGGGGCGGATTTAGGTATTGGGAATCTTATTTTCACCACGTGCTACGTAGCAACAACCGATGCCGTCAGGTCAAGAAGATGAAAAGCAAGAGTGCATTGATATCCGATAGATCTAGGTCGGTAACGGAGAAACAGCATTTCAAGTTAGATTCTTTGGACTTTTACCGGAAAATGACTCGAAATTTAATCGGAGAAGGCTGAGACTGGCGCTTAAGAGTTTATCATCACGGGGAGCCTCTGGGGATGATGAGATGATAATAATTTGAAAGAATGTCTGCCGAGGAGGACTCTACGAGAATGAAGTCTCTCACGCATAGATGGCAGGACTCCAGCAGCTTCCGCTGCTCTATCGTGCAGGTAACGTGGCCGGCTTCATTCTAGCCTGCACGTTCTTGAGTCGCCTCATTCGTGGCGTCGCATCTCGCGTGGATCGGATCAACCCTCGGTACGAACCCGATCCTATGCTTAATTTAATGTCAGAGTGAGTTATTTTCTCATCGGAAATTGTTGTAGGAACACAGGCTTAGACATAATGAAGGACTTGATTTAGGTTTAAGCCTCATTGACCTCCGACTTGGCGTGAACGAAACTTGAGGACGAGAGAGAGCTAGTGCAGCCCAGGCTAACGTTAACGTTGGCGCCAGCTAACAACTTAGTTTAAGCTACGCTTACGCTTAAGTTTGGCTCATCGTCGGCTTTGGTTATTGCCTATGTCTGATTTGACTAACGTTAATGAATACTAGATTTAGGACAGGAAAGGAAAATTTAACGTATCTTGACTTATAGTAAATACGCGAAAGTCGAGCCTGTTTCCTTAGTACAATGACGTGCTGCACAAGAGAAGCTCCATAATGAACGAATGCTTCACGCAGGGTTGTGAGTGTGTTATATCTGTAAAAGTTGGATTGTGATCTACAATATCAGCTTGAAAGCCTTTGAATCATTAGTAACGATATCACGAGAAGCATTGAAATGCAATAGTATATCTGGACGCATGAATCGAACCAATGGCGCGAGAGCCGACCCTGCGGTTCCTCAAAGTCGGGCCTGTGATGTGCTTCCTAGCCTCACTACGCATCCACCACCCGGCGTGAAGGCTTTAGCAAGCCTCCATGCCTCTACGCGCATGCTGCTCGCCGTGTTGGCTTGCAGAGGCAGGAACGACCGATTTTGGACAGACTATTTTCCCAGCATAGTTGCCTGAGAGGTATCTCCAGGAGGGAGATTCGAAGAGGGGACTAGCTGGATATTGCTTGGCAGTCAAACTTGATAAGAATATCCATGGCCTTTGATATAAATCTTAGGCTGACCGTGGAAAGATGGATGTACCATTAGCACCACCAGAGACGTGCCATTGAAAATTTGAATGCAGAATTCCCGGCCTTATGCGTGTGCTTCACTTGCCTATGCCTACGGCTAGGGATCGACTTTCAGAGACCTTCACCGCGATTCGATCCAGAAAACCGACCCTCTAAAATATTGAATCCCGAGAACATAATGATGAAATCATTTCTTACAGCATACTCTTCAGCTACCTTAGAACACCATATTTACGACCATCGACGCTTAGAGCCACCAGTAAGTACCACAACATAATGTATAAAATATCGAATCCCGAGAACATAATGATGTAATCATTTCTTACAGCATACTCTTCAGCTACCTTAGAACACCATATTTACAACCATCGACGCTTAGAGCCACCAGTAAGTACCACAACATAATGTATGCCAGGGACATTCGTAACCATGATCTCAGCGTGCCTCACTTAAAGTAAGAACGATGTAACTTAAGGAGCTCGTTTCCGGTTGATTATACGGATTTAACAACGATGTATTCTTTGTGAGACACATTTTAAGCTTCGCTTAAAACACGGATTCGACGACGAAGACACAGAGGGCAATATGACATTATAATGGCGAGGTCCGTGAAGTGAACCGGAATTCCGACCAAATTCGTGCATGGGTCGACTTTCGCGTACTTACGTTATGTCTGGGTTTGTGTAAGAACCTTCATTTAGTTGAATCGAATCATTGGAAGCCTTTCCTTAGTGTGTGCATTTAATCTGAAATGTCATCTCAAGCATTCCTTTGCTTTGTAGACTAAGGACTTAAAGTTCTACATGTTTTAGCATAGACAAATCTAAACCTGGCGTCAGGTTAAGCCCAGGATGAATTCACATACCTGTATAATGGTACTGGCACTGCTGGTGCTTGGACTCTAGGGACATCTACTAAATGCCATTTCACATCATATGGTAGACCCAAGGAAATAGTTCCCAGTTCCACTGGGGCCAGAAGGATAATAGAAAGCAATAGTCATTATTATAAGGGTGTATGAACTCATCCTTAGGTCACAGTTAGACCTTTTTCATTTCACATCGTTATGGCCTACAGCTTCTTCAAATATAGCTATCCTCAAGGTTCCTGTAAATTAGGCCACAATGCAAAGGGTGGTGCAGCTAAAAGAGGCCCAGTGTATATGTATGTATGTGAGCATGTCTGAATTGTTTTTATTATTATTTATGACAAGACTACTAACAATATGTATATGTGCGACACTGTGTTTGGGTTAAAACTTTATAGGATGTGCTGGAGGTGATGTCCTTCAGTGGCAATACATGTCTGAATCCTGTGCAGCATATTCAGCACGAGGCAGTGCAGTACTTTCTCAGAATTACAGCAGTGATATTGTCCTTTAACTAGTAAATTGTTCTTGGATTGCTCTGGTACACTTTACCCTTAAGGTTCCACTGCAAGTAAAACATCAGCAGCCTGCCTACTGTCTGAGAGCATGCCATGATACACCACAGTGTCTGGGCATGTGCTAGCCTCATTCAGGGCCTCTTTTAGTTGCTCCACCCTGTAGCTCTGTTGATTGCTTCCCCAATCCATCTTTTAAGGTGTTGGTTTCAAGGAAATTAACTTATCCAAAATAAATAAGTTACATTGCTACTCCACATAAGGGTACCCCTTTCCCTGGCAGGGATATCTGAATGTTTCAAGGATGTTGACATAATATGCCAACACCAGGGAAAGGGTTAACTGGCATTTTCTATCATGGTAAGCCTAAACTCTTCCCTAACTTCATGTGGGCAAAGGAAGTTGTTTTCCATTTTGCCTTTGGGCTGAAAGAGTGAGAGTGGTTACAACTGTTTTCAAATCTAATTGATTTATGATTCCTCAAAATGTTGTCTTCTGTTTCACCTCTTGGCTCGGATTCTTGAATTCAAGAAAGAAGTAGATGAGAAAAAGCAAAACATGTTGATAGGATATGAGCTTGTTCCCTGTGCACAGAGCTCCATGCATTCCCTCTGGGCCATCATGCCTTGCCAATGGGAAATGCATAAAAATAACAGCTCCCTTTCAGCATAGGTTTATGCAGCAGTTAGCAGTGATGTATACTGCATCTCATACCTTTATTACTTTAGTCCAGCCATACGTATATGGGTAGCTGTAGCTGAAGGTCCAGCTCAAGGGTAAAAGAAGTATCTGGTAAAGTCAGCTTATGAATCTCAATCCATGTCAATCATTTCACATCACTTGCAATGCTATAGGCAGAGCCAGAGCTATAAGGAAAGTGACTTTGAATATATATAAAATATATTTATTTGCCAAACATGCCAAGGCACCCAATCGGCATTTCTGCATGTAAGAAGATGCAGAAAGAGCAAACAAGGGAAAGAAGAAGAAAAAGAAAGGAAGTGGGGGGAGGTAGAAGTTTGGGTCTGTGTCATGGCTTCAAAGTCAAAAAAAGAGCTGAAAACCAAGAATGAAAAACCAAAAACTCCTTTCTGTGGGTATGCTGAACACTTCTTGACAAAGATTGCGTCTAGATCTTCATCCTTCATCATCAGTTTCTTTATCCTACATTTTTTATTTATATTTTTCCTTGAGAGGATTTTTGGATTCATTCATTTATTAATCTCATTTTACATCCACAAAGTAGCCTCTGAGACTTTTTGCTTTCTTTTGCTAAATACAATATGCAAAAACAAAGGTCACATAGTGGAGCACTTAGTATTATTGTTTCTGCTGTCCTTGAAGGGTCCTTTAGTTTTAAAAAATCAAAATGATAACGAACATCCTCCAACTCTTCACACCATAGAAGAATGTGCTCTCTAGATTCCTCCATAGAGCACAATGGGCAAAGCAGGTATCTAGAGGGGCCCAGAAGCAGAGGAAAATATCAATTTTCAGAGATGAAACATAAAACTGGTCCTGGCTTTCTCTAGATTCCTTATATCAGCCCAAAAGTAACTTCATTTGGAGGGCTTGTGGCCATATGAAGCCAATTTTAAAGATTATAGTTTCCTCTTTTTTTTTCTCCCCTCAGCTCGAGCCTTTCATGCATCAAGTTGGTGGGCACTCATCTATGATGTGCTTGGATAATTTCACTGTCTGTAAGCCTCTTATTGAGAGGGAATTACGCTTCTATGAATCACTGCCAGATGTGATGAGGCCCTTCACAGCAGAATGCAAGGGAGTCACAGAAGTTGATTGTAGGGAAGATGAGAAGGGATACATTGCTCTCACAGCTGTCCCTCGAAATGAGAGTCAAGCAATCACTAGTCTCAAGAACAATGCCTCACAGAAGCGGTGAGTTCAACTTCCAAAAGTAGTCATTAGTATAGGCCTGAAAATCATGATATAAAAAGTGAGTATTTCATTCAGTCAATATTTGCTTTCCTTTTGAACAATAACAAGTGTAGCCTGTTATTACCAATATTCAAAAGAAATCATTTCAACATCTGGTGCTGGGTGTGAATATTTCCTAACTCTAGCAGCATTTGTGAGAAATTAATAAATGGTGGATATTAAAAAAAAATTACAGATATTTTCCATAGCCTAATAGGTACATGCAACCCTAAAATAATCACAGGAAGCAATAAATGCATTTTTTTTATTGTCCTCAGAAAGAATTAAAAGAGAAATATGGTTTGTTTGTTTATTTTCAGTAAAAGATGCTGTTTTATAAAGGATAAAGAGAAAAGAAAGGACACACACATTATACAGGTTGGGCCATTTATATATGACACATTTTTATTTTAAATTTCTAAGGAATAGCTGTAAATTTGAATGAATTTTTTTCTATGTTACAGGTAAAGTCTTGGAAATTTGAATGATGGAATATTGGGATGTGCCAACATGAGTAAAAATTGTGGAACTCTATTTTAAATATGGCTCTGTTGTGGAATTCATTGCATTCAGACACAAATTTAGAATAACTTTTTTATTCCTGAATTACCCTGTGGAAACATGATAGAAAACATATGGTTTCAGCAAGATACATGCAACATGCCACACTACCTGAGATGTTATGGAATGTTTTAGGCAACAGTTTGGGGAAAGGATAATTTCTTGGTTCAGTACTGTTTTATGGCCACCCTGATCCCTAGACCTGTCTGCACTGGATTTTTTCTCTGAGGATTATTGAAGAGCAAAGTTTACAAGACACATCCCAGAAGTAAAGATGAACTTAAAATCAGAATTAATGAAGCCATATCTGTTATTGGTGACGACACACTGAGGACGGTAATGAACAATGTAGTGGTTCGATCCAGGGAATGCATAAATTGTGAAGGACAGCATTTGAAGAATGTGATTTTTAAGGTGTAGACCTGTGATAGCATGACAATTTCCCATATTTGTGGTTCACTTTGATATAAAAACAACTTGCATTACTTTGTTCAGTCCTGATTTATTACAAAAATAAATGTGTCAAATAAGTAGCAGAATATAAATGGCTCACCCTGTACATAAAATCTTTTGTCCTTGAGTTCAAGTAAGTGTACCTTTTTGCTGCCAGAGAGACAATAGATGTTTTTGTTTTGGTTTTTCAAAAATAATTGTATGCCAGCTCATGTGGGGGGAGAAAGTGAGGGAGAGAATTAGTGTTTTAGTCAGAAATTGCTTGCCAGGGCTTCAGGACAGGCTATATATAAGCAGTGCAGTGCATGTATGTCTTATGCATGGCAGTTCTCCCTGTGTTGTGATAGCTTTATGGATAGTCATTTTGATCCTGTATGTTCTCCAAGAGGTGGGTTTGAGCTCAACTTTGGCAGGGCACCCTTTTTTTTGTTGTAAATCATATCTTGGGCAATAACCATTTCATTCCCACAATGGGCAGTTATAATTGGGGAGACGTTAAGTTAGAGAACAACGGACTTCATTCCCAGAGGGCAGACTGCAGAATGAAGGTGAATATGGATAGGCTTGCAAGGGGAGAGAGACATGGTGAAGTGGTTCCATGGCATCTGCTAGGAGCAATCAAGAGATAGGGAATGTCTGAGCCTGCAATACCATAGCTAAAGCAAGAAACCACTATGCACTATTCCCCTTAGGATTCGTCTGAGGAAGTCTGGCAGCATTGAGATGGAAAACAATGCAGAAACCTTCCAGTTTCAGGAACTAGACCAATGGAATCATGCTTCTGTGTCAGCAAATCATAACCCTTGGGTCTTGAAGTGTCATAGAGATAACCTCTTGAAGTTGGCTTCCAAAAATACCAATGAATGCCGTCAATGTATCCTTTTCATTTTCATTTCATATATTAGGAAATGTTCCTCTTTTTGGAAAATATTTAAATTTAAATATCTTTGGTCAGAGAACATATTGTGTAGTGCTTTTGGTGCCTAAGGTGAAGATATACAGATGGATGGAGAGAACAGGAGAGATGATGACATAAGCAATCCAAGCAGTACGGTGCTTATATGAATTCATCTTCTTTCAAAATGAACCTACTAATATGTCATGGGCATGCTCTGCTTTTCTGTGATGAATAAGTGAATGCTGGAACTGTATCAATTTCTTTTTGTGGCTCTCTTATCCTAAAAGAAAAAGGTCACTTTTTTTCCTTCCTGTCAATGTGTTCTTACTTTTGTGATGATTCCATAAATGTTGATTTTATTGCAGCAGGAATTCATGTGCAAACACAATTGAACAGGTTTCTGCCTGCAATTTTTATTATTATAGAGTTCATATAAATATAGATTTTGAAGCAAAATTTTGTATGCACATTTACATGGTTGGTCATCTGAGAAACTTTGAATGTTGAACTGGATGCCACATCATCTCACAACCAACCCTGGCCCTGCACTGCCCTCCAAGATTATACTGCTACTCCTAAGTTTATCTGCATTCATGTTTTTAAAACTCTGATCAAGTCATAAATTAGGGTAGGCCTAATAAAAAATTATTGCAATTTGTTTTCTTTATGTTTTTTTGGCTCTTTTTTTCTTAGTGAGGTGATAAAATGAAGCCCCTCCTTGTTGAAGAAATTAAAAAAAAAAGTGAAAACATAAGGTCTCTTGCATCCATCACTTTCATCCCTTATGAACAAGAAGTATAAATCCATTGTCTTCAAGTTTCCTGTGGGATTCTGATGAAATGATGAGGTTTGGGTATTAACATGTTATTACATTTTCTACAGTGTTTTTCACTTCAGTTAGACACTTTTTCACTTGACTTTGACACTTGTGTGAGGAACGTCCCATGCACATGAATGTTCACATGCATGGGATGAATGCCCCATGCACGTGTGTCTGAGTAATGTGAAAAATTGTCTAGCTCAAGTGGAAAACACTGTACATCAATTTGATAGGAACAGGTGCTGATAATCATTCCATTTTGCAAGATGAAGTAAAAGTAGATATTCTGTTGTGTATATTAATGTCATTACAAAAGATAACCTTTGTCATCAGTTAGCTAATCCACAGACTCTATGAGAATTGTAAACTTTTTACAACTGGATGAGGAAGAGGAAGAAGATGTGAACTAATTAAAGCATGCTGTTTTCCTGAAGTGAAGGTCCATCATCGCCAGTGGTGACAGAGTAACAGAATAAAGTATCCATTATTGTTTGATTTTCATGGATTTATTTATTCATACATTTAGAATTAGGCAAGTTGACATAATATTAAGAATTTAAAAGTAACAAGAAGGGAACTATGAATACGGAACTGTAAATATAACAAGGTGCTTTTAATATGTAACTTGCCCCTCCCTGGTAATGCTTTCACCAAAATTCATGGATTTATGCATTGAGTTGAATTGATGGAGATGATAGTGCAAGAACCCATCCAGGAGAATCTTCTGTCATCATGATGGTACTTCAGGTGTATAAAAATTCAATCAAGCTAGTGCTTCTGAAGTCCAGCTGGATACTGGAGAAAGGAGATGGAGCATTGGTAACAGAAGCTGTCATCTGAGCAGCTGAAGATTAAGAATTACTGCTATGTGAGATAATAAATACTTGGGACTGCAGTAGTAGTCTCTGATGTGTAGGCTTGCTCTGAGATTGCATTTCATTCTCACTGTTGCTGTAAAAAGTGGCTCTGGTCTCTGATTTGACTCCTGCCTCCAATTTTCTTCATTCTCTTTTTCTCCAATTTCCTGTCTTGTAATGTTAAATAAATAGGATTTTACTTCATGGTCTAATTGTTCCCTCATAGTCCTTGGGTTCCTCTTCCACCATGGATATGGACCTCCATGATCCTATTGCCTAGACATAATTAAAACATTTTTCTTGGTGTCCTTGCTTGAGTCAGTTTCTTCCTATTGCTCTTCTTCCTCTTCTGTATTCAATCTTGGCTTATTCATGCACACAGTCATTTGGTGCTGACTATTGGGGTATTGCTGGTAAAATATGAGTTTTATGTAATTTATAACAATATTGAGAGCCTGTAACAAGCACTTCATTTGGCAAGTACCTATATTCTATGAGTATGCATTTCCCAAAAAATGTTAATTCCTCATTCATTTCAATGTTTCCCAGTGAGTTTCATACTTGTTGCATATTGGTATATATAAGCAGCAAGGTACTCTTCATTCTATTTAAAGTGGTTCATACTTGCTGCTAATCGATACTCCCTCCTGTCTCTCCAATGTCCAGGGCTACTCAGAATGTTATGTAATGCATGGCTACTGTGGCTACTGAGTGGCTACTTTTCTGTTGGTTCAGAAGTTTTCAATTTCTGATCCAATTCATTAAAATGCTTACATTGCCTTCCAAGATTCTAATCCTCTTCCAGTGAATGTTCATTCTCAGATATCACTTCAAGGTTCATGATCAAAGTTTCGATTCAGATCTGGCATAATCATTCCATAGTTTATCTTTGTTGCATTTTTATGATCAAAATCTCTTCACCCTGAGGTCCAATTGGGTATTGGGTCATTCCAATATAAATCATCTAAAAATATTGCAAAATTTAACCATGCATTTTATACTTTTACAAAGTTTGGCAGATGAAGTTCTCCTGGTCTCAAATTCAATGTCAAATTTCTGCTAGATCAGATCTGCAGGTCAAATGCTACAGAGAAATAAAATCATACTTTGTCAACCTCTGATTTTGAATGCTCTATAACTTGAACCATTTTATTTAGGCTAGCAACTCAGGATTTCAAGGTAGCTAATTCTAACTGTAACTGAAGTAGAAGCTGTTTTCATAATGTAATTACATTCTGAAAACAAATTTCCAGCAAAAATTGACTTAGAAAAAAAAGGAGATGAAGTTAACTGACCTGTTTGTAATTAAAGTCTTATGAAAGTGAAAAAAATATTGGTGCCTTTGTATTCTAAGACCTCTGGAGGTAGAACATAAACACAAAGAAAAGGAATGGGGAGATGGAATGGAACTCTTACAATGTTTGGAATGAATCTTTCAAAGATCAAGGAGTGGGTGAGGTGGATCCTGTTATTGTTCAGTTATATAGAGGTTTCATTGAATATAAAAGTATTTCATGGCTACATTGGCACTGTGCACTCCCCTGTTGTTCAGCTACTGCAGTCAGTGAATAATCCAAAAAACCCCGTCTTTCATGTTAAGGAATTAATAGAAAGAATTGGCAGCATGGCTATCCAAAATGTAACTGTACCAATATCCAACTATTGCATACTCAAAAGTAAGCTTCAGTAAAATTAAATTTCTATATGGGTTTAACTGAAAGCACAGTCAAATTTCATATTCATCTTAATTTGCAGTTAAATTACCCTTCTCTTGTATTTCCACCTTAGCCAAAGCAGTTAGGTGGGAATTTCAATCATGACTTTTTGGTTTTCAGACACATTGGACTTTGCAACCTTGGGAAACGGTTCTATCCCAAGCTTACAGAAGTGTTTGTGCATATGGTTCAGTCATTCTAACTCTATTGTGCCAATTATATGTCTTTATCAATCTTATAATTCTGCTGAATTTGGCTTGCAAATGTACTGTTTTGAGAATGGTACTCAGCAAAAAATATTAGACCTCTATATGAAACTGGCCAAGAATCTAAAATTCAGCCCTAGGGCAAAAAATGAACTCCAGGTGCTGACTTTCTTGGTTTTTGTCCAAGATAATTTTTTAAATGACGAGGGACGTTCAGAAAGTTCTGGGAATTCCGTCAATGTACTGTACAAAAGGAAATCAAGCTATTTAATAACCTATTCTGATCAGACGTTTTGGATAAAGGCTTACAATGATTATTATTGAATTCAGCATTGTTACCCGAATAATCTCCTGAGCAGAGTTATTCATCTCGGTTCAGATGTATTTTTCGAAGCCATGGAAGACACTATGAAAGCTCTGTAAGCGATTTTTTTTGTGGAGAGAAGGTGCACGCGGATCTGAGGCTGTTCAGAGGCTGCAGGCTGTCTTTGGAGAATCTGCAGAATCGAAGAGTACTGTTTACCGATGGCTGGAGTGGTTTAAGGATGGTCGCCAGGTCTTAGAAGACGACCCTCGCAGTGGTCGTCTTCAAACGGCTACTACCGATGAAAAAATTCACGCTGCGGAAAATATTTTAATGAAAGATCAACGAGTTACCGTTCAGGAGCTTGCTACTACCCTAGGGGTCAGCACCGGCAAGGCTCATGAGATTCTCCATGAACATCTCGGTATGACGAAGGTTTCTGCCAGATGGGTGGCTCACATGTTGGGGCCTTAACAGAAGGTTGATCGAATGGAAACGAGTCGAGAGCTGCCTGAACTTAGCCAAGAATACGAAGAGAGTTTTTTCAACTGTATTATCACTGTAGATGAGACGTGGCTTCCCTTCTTCAATCCCGAGACAAAATCACAATCTTGAGGAGTGGCGCCGATCTGAAGGAGGACCTCCTTTGAAGACTCGAACTGTTCCCTCTTTGGGGAAGGTTATGATTACGGATTTCTGGGATTGCAAAGGGATAATAATGATCGACTACCTACCAAAAGGTACCACAATGAATGCAGAAGACTGTTCTAATCCGCTCTTTGGCCCTCTTCAACAGACTTATTGAAGTTGCATTCACGGCCACTTCTTCAGCAGGACAATGCAAGGCCCCACACCGCGCGCTTAACTAGAGCAGTCATAGAATTGAGGAGGGAATTGCTCCCACATCCGCCCTACTCGCTAGATCTTGCTCGAAATGACTACCACCTCTTCAGCGAGATGAAGAAGCCTCTGCGAGGAGTACGTTTTGATTCCCTCAGTGCAATGAAAGCTGCACTGAACAGGTGGTTCAGAAACACTCCAATTTTTTTCCTGACAGTCTAAGGAAACTGATTCCACGCTGGAAGAAGTGCGTCGAACTCGGGGGACTATGTTGAAAAGTCACTGTATAATGGTGATGAATAAATCATTCCTAGAATTTCTGAATGCCCCTCGTACATATAAATTAACATTAAAGCTGAAAGGCAAAACATAGATACAAATTAGTTTATATTTTAATTTTTTTTTAATCTTAAATAATTAATAAGTCAATTGATAAATAGTCAGTTTGTGATTCCCTATGACACCCGTGTGGAATTTGAGATTTAAAATATTAATCAATTTTAACCAATACAAAAACTGATGATATGTTTCGATTCCTACAATGTTTTCACTTTTAAATTGGAAAATTGAGCATTTTCGAGACCTTTGACCATGTAGGAAACATGATGGAGAGTTTATCTTTACATTACCTGAAAATACTTTCCAAGGGTCTTCCTATTGTGTATAAAAATGAAAGATTTTTTGTCTCAAATTTTATAACATCTTGAAGATTAGCATTAAGTGTGGAAAAATCTGTAAGGTTTTGCTCATGATCATGGAATTAAATTAAATTTGGCATGTGAAAGGAATTGCTAAGAAGTTCGTGCCAGCAGAATTTTGGGCCTCTATTATCCAATGTGGCCTCGAGATAGGGTGGGTTTATAATTCGGCTCAGTGGCCAACAATTACCGCCAGTCCTCAGAAACTAACGTTCTTGCATTTTTGTCTTAAAAGAGAATTTCTCAAGTTAAATTAAATTAAAGCTGAAGGAAATGGGGATTAGAGTTTATATTTTTACATGCAGCTACTCATATTAATTATACATAATTATTAGGGATGTGCCGATACCGCATACGCCCCATTCGTACGATAAAGGCGAGCTACCAGTCCCTCTTCCTCTCCCTCCAGACTAAGAGTTCCAGAGGTCAGCTGTGCAACTGGGTGACTAACCTATCTGGGTGTTGGTCTGGAGTAAGGTCCTAATTCCTGGTTAAGATGGTAGCATTAGCAAGAACCAAAAAGAACTAGCCTTCCCTGACACCCCTTCTGAGCCCAGATGATACTACAAGAATGAGACAGGAAGTGACCGACTATTACAACGGCTGTACCAATGCATCGACATCCACCGGTATCATCCGTCGATATGGCACCATCGGCCATCTTTAGGTTGGCAAGCTACCAATGTCCAAAGGAGGACGACATACTATGTGCTTGAATGCGGCTCGACAACAGTAGGGAAGGAAAGTAGGGATGTCACTATGCATTGATCAATATATCGGTCACTATCGATAGGTTCATCACCCATCGAGACGGTCGCGCGCACACACCACCGCGATCACGAAAGAGAGGTGACGGAAGTCAGAAAGAGGCCACCACCCCGATCGAAGCAATGAACGACGGAACGCCCGATCGCGATGAGAGATGACAGATTTGGCAGAAATCCCCCTCTCATTATCGATGCATCGCTGTTTTTTTAAAGTCATCGTGACAACCCTAAAAAAAAAATAGAGGGTGGTTTCCTAATAGGCCTGTTTGAATAAATAATTTATACAACTCATCAACATGTCACCATCGGCACCGGCCAATTGTTTAGGTGACCCGATTTCTGTGTCGCGAAAGTGGGACACCCAATAAGTACTTCCCCTTGCCTCTTAAAGAATATGAATGTATTTGTTGCACCGACGATTATATTTATTATTGTCGAAACACGAATTAGAACTGTTATTTAATTATTTGTGCCTCCACGGTAGGGGGTGGGGGGGTAGAATTTGGGAAAAGTTCTTATGACCTGTCTTTCAAATGTCTCCGAATGCACGAAGGCGTTATCAAATCGTCAGAAGAGGTATATTCAAAACAAATACGCGAAACGACGTCGAACATATGCGAACATAGAAAATGAAACGAATAAAAATTTCTTGAAATTGAGAAAACAATAAATGATACAAGCACATTCGATATCTGAAACAAAGCTAAAGATGAACGGAATTAATTTCGGGATTCAGCCCAGATTTCACTGCGCAGACATGCAACCGGAAATTTGTTAACCTGTACGTTTTTCATTATTTTCATCCGGATCGTCCTGTTTTCAGAAAAAAATTCAGCAGCGTCACATGTGCTTCTTCGCTCCCATCTTTGCACCTTTCTAGCCTCATTCTCATGAGCAGGGATTAGAGGGGGTTCAGACCCCCTGAAACCCCCCCCCCCCTTGGCTGCGCCATTGTGGTTCCAGCATTCTACTTACTAAGGGTTCAACCAGTGGCATATTTTACAGGGGGGTAGAGGAGGCAGCCGCCCCCTCTGGCGCCCCCTTGGAGGAAATAATTTTCTCACCTGATATCACTCGGGTGGGGTTTGGCGCCCCCGCTCTGTTGTCTTGCCCCCCCGACCCTTCAGCCAAAGTACGCCACTGGGTTCAACCTATACAGAGGCTGTGCATTTTCCACAAGAGGGAGGCGTGGCCTTCTCAAAAGCTCTAAGGAAGCACTTTCCCATACAATTAGAAAATTCCATTAAGATATCAAATCTATTACTATTATATTTCAGTGTTTGTGTGTCTGTCCTTTATGCATGGCCACGGCTCTGATCCCAGTCTGACCAAACTTTGGATGGCTTCCTCATTTAGTCCGGGGATGGTCATAGGCTAAGTGGCGTTTCAAAATTCTGACCCCCCGGGGTACCTTATTTAGTACATATTAAGCCGATTCACTACTACAAACCCCCCAAAGGAGTCAACATTTTGGGGGGTCAGTACAAAGTTGTAGAGGGACCCCATGTTACTAAATACATTTTCCGTTGCACCCCGCAGCTAGTATCTGAGAGAAATCAGAGAACCATTGGATTCGTTCTCAATAATCGCAAAACGAGCAAAGTCTGATCACTGAAAGTTCACTTCTGCTCACATGCGAGGCCAGAGCCTGGAGGCTTCCCCTGGCTCATAAGGGTATCACATTGCTCACGGAATATTAAAAGTATACGATAGCAGGGAGGCCGGCCTCACCGTCTGCATTGCGCATGAGCAGGTGCCTGCTGGCAAGAGCTAGCATGTTTTTAGGCTCCTTGGCTGTTTGGTTATCCGAATTCGCATTGCTATTTTATATTTACGCCGTTGTCATGGATAAAAAAAAAGACACTAGGTATGCTATGCACAATCATTATATTTGCTATGTTTAGTTCGAGGTGATTTTTTTTTTAAAGAGAAGTTCTGAAACTCGCAAAGAAGAAATTCTACCGACATGTCATTCTCTCTTCGACATTTACCGGAAGCGGGACATTTGGGCGGTCAGCTTACTTCATCGGGGGACACCGAGACATGTGGTCTGAAAGTGGGACTGTCCTGCCTAAATCGGGACGTTGGTCACCTTACCAATTGTGACTAGGTAAAGGCCTAGTTTTTACAAGAAAAAAAGGACAACTCTATATCGATTAAGAGAACAAATGTAAAACATTTTTTAAGACGGTAGCCAGGGTCGGACTGACTCACCATGATACCGGGGAGCCCCCAGACCAAAGAGCCCCAGCTCCCGGTGCGGGGATCCCTTGGTTTGCATTATAGGGGGGGTTGCGGGGGGGGCTTGGTCGCCAGTCTACCCTGACGGTAGCACAACCGGGAGTGAAAATCGGAATTGTTTAAGTTTCTCCGCCTATAAAGAGGATTAAAAAAATACACACACGGAGAAGGAATCGTGGGAAGAACAAATGATTAAGAAAAAAAAGCCCCATACTACTTTTTTTTCGCGTCAATAATGCTCTTTCGTTTCCCAGCTTGGGAAACACTTCCTTTTCTTATTGTCGGAGGCTTTGGAGGGGGGATGTATCGTGGTGGTTAATGGAAGCTAACTTTTAGTGACCGGTTAGAGTAAAAGTAGGTTAACAATTGGGACCCCTAATTTGCAGGGGGAGGGAGATGGACTTTATGCCAGCCTCTTTAGGAGCCTGAAAAGAGCGTTCAGGTAGTGTATAAGCTTCCTCTAACACGTTTCCCATATGTTAAACATGGTCAAAAGTAATGAAAATTCCCAATTTTCCTATTTGAAAGTGAAAAATTGTGGGAATACCTACATTTCAAATTTGAGACAGATAACGTAATTCCCTCACAGGTTGAAATTGTCAAATTTTAAATTATTTTTAAAGGTTAAATTGACAAAGTTGAATGTAAATATTAATTAAATCTGAATATATTGACTCCTGTTTTTCAGCACTAACTCTCAAGCCGAATTCTGAGGTATCAGAGACCTCATGGGAGTTTTCGTAAATATTTTGTGAACGACAACTTTGGGCAACTCACGCTCGCCAAAATTGCAATTTCAATGATCGGACAAAAGTTTATGCAGTAATTTACTAATGTTAAAATTCAAGATTAAAATAGGAAATTTTCACTAGTATCTGCAGCATTTTAAACTTGGAGTCACTCAGACCTGAGGGTTAATTAGAACTATCAATTACCTCCCTGGAACAAAAGAAAAGAAGTTATAACCAGGTAATTTTTTTGCCCCAGGGTCAAATTTCAAATAGATTTTGAATAGATGTTATTCTGAATTTATTATCTTTGCACGCCAAATTTCACAGAATTATGACACGATTAAGCACTAAACCTCTTACGTTTTCTCCACTTGAGGTGGAATGACTAGTATGTGAGTTGTTTCCTGAGAGCACCAGTTTGCCCTGGGAGACTGCAGTATGTGATTAAAAACATATCACTCATATTGCACCATCTCATCAAATTCAGAGGGACTGAACTCATTGGATAAGCACTGTAATGTATGTTGCATCAGTATCGCATTTGTTACTGGATATTGGCTAATGCTTTTATACTTGGCTTTTAAGCAGAAATATACCAATCCAAATATAACATGCATGGTTATATAGCAATGGCCAATATGCATTGGTGTCCGATAGGATTTCGATGCTCACCAAACCCGTGGCGATCAGGTCACCATATTCGCCACATTATACAAAATGTATGCACTATTAATAAGAATGCACAATCTTTTGAAAGTAGGTATGAGGTTGTAAACCATCATCAATCCATACTGATACACAGTAATATGCAAAGTAAAATGTGGCGAGTGGCGAACATATTGGACACCATGGGTCTAGTGGTCCCATTGTACAAACTTCTGCAAGAGTAAAACAATAAGGGTGGCATTTCAGGAACCCATGGGAAATTCCACAGAGAACATTCCTTTATAAGCCTTGTCAAGCTTCCCTCAAAGTTATATAGGTGTACAAAGCAATTATGGAAATAATTCCCTGGGTAGACAGAAAGTACATAATCGTATGTTGAAATTTCTCTAAAGGTGGCACATCCATGTTGCTATACTTCTTGGAACCACATTTTCACTCAGAGAAATTCAGAGCAGCTACTGCTAGTGTCTTGTTTGATTTGGGTTTTCAATTCAGAGGAAGTATGTGCTATTAGATTTGGAAAGAGACCATATAGGGGGAAAACTGGGCCATAAGGCTTTCATCAGAAATAAATTCAATATTTATCCTTGATGGAAAATTGCTATTTATTCTAACTCAAGCTGACAGTTCAGATAGGAAATCTTTTACCTTTTATATGCATCACTTTACCTTCAAAAATAAAGTAAAGCAAACTATCTTAGGACAGGATGTCTCCATTGATGGTGAAATTCTGCTCTTTATGTCTTAAGTCATAAAGTATATTGCTTCATACTTATGCCTACTTTTTTTTGGGTGCATCATGGTTTGTGATAAGGTAAGTTCCCTCATTTGCGTTATTTATGTGAAGGACTGGACTGTCATCCTAGAAAACATTTTTATGTTAGCTGCAAGGAGTTTCACTCCTTTCATGCTTTCATGATCAAGTTCCCTCATTTGTATCATTTGAAGAGTCAATTCTTATCCAGCTAATCATAGGGATGTCTGACATTCATATTGAATCACATTACTTAAATCTCCAATATGGAAAATTGCATGAGCTTAATATTTGACACTCCTGAATGAAAGGTGCAGTAATTTTTTTTTTTCAAGTTTCAACTGTGTGACATAAAACACAGGAACAGCATTGGTGAAACATGGAGGAATGCAGGAGGAATTATTTCTTTTGTGTGGGACAATAACAAATAATATTCTACCATTTGTCTTTTGAAGAAATTATCTATTTTGCTAGAATTACATTATCTACTCTATCTAGTGCACAATAATACAAAAAATATTCAGAAGAATACATAGAAGAATCTTGGGCAGTTTTGCATTGCATGTGCACAACAGTCAAAAGTTACCCTGAAGATTGGTGAAGAGTTAATGAATGCCTTGTTCCAAGTTAGAATTTTCTGACTGGTAGGCATTGCTGAATTTCTTGCTCTCTTGATCTGGAAGCTATCCATGCAAGTCAATTTGGATTGGGCTGTTGTACTGGAAGTCCATTAGATATACATGTCAATCCATATCTTGGAACTTGAAGATACTTGTAAGCATAGGCAAATTGGTATGGAGAATATGTGACTTTTGAAATGTCTAGGCCCATATTAACTTGCTTGAGTTTTCCTTAACTAACATGTTTAGCCTTTTTACTCTTGGAGAATCTCACATCAAAGTTCACCCATCCATGTGTGGTGGATCTCAAGATGGGCACACGGCAATATGGAGATGATGCAAGCCAGTCAAAGAAAGCCAGCAAAACAGCTAAAGTTGCCTCCACGACTTCTGGGAAGATTGGAGTTCGTATCTATGGCATGCAGGTATAAGATCATACTTTATGAAGTACTTGGGGCCATGAGTGTTATGAAACTGGGGGACTTTTCATATTGCAGGTTTATGATGTGAAATTAGAGCAATTTTTGTGCCGAAACAAGTATTTTGGTAGGGCTCTATCTGTGGAAGGATTTGAAGAAGCCCTATGTCAGTATCTGAATAATGGTGAACGTCTCCGTTTGGACCTCATTCCTGCCATGCTGGAAAGATTGGAATCTCTCAAGAATGTTCTGGAATCTCTACAGACATTCCGCTTCTACACCAGCTCTCTCCTGATCATATATGAAGGTAAAGATGATCCACATGGCCTCTCCTCATCAGAAGATTCTCGAGACAGCTATGATTCCAGTCACTCAGATGTGGGAATCTTGGTGGATGTCCGCATGATTGACTTTGCCCATGCCACTTATGAAGGATTCCAGGATGACAGTAGTCTTCATATTGGACCTGATTCAGGTTTCATCTTCGGTTTGGAGAATTTGATTGATGTCCTGAAACACATCTCAGACAAATATTCAGCTTGAATGCTGAACATCATGTGATTGCCTGCTAGTGTCATGTTGTTTGGGGCAGGCTCATGCATCATGGGCAGTTGCTACAACTGCATGTTTTGGTTTATCTGTTGAAACTTTCTCTATTATGTATTTAGGGCTAAGATCCAGCAAAGAACATTCCCATAGTAGTGGGACATACTGTTTTGACAGAAAGTTTCAGATATTTGAATCATGGTGCTCTTCGTATGAATTGAATGTGAAGTTTCATGTGATTCCTCAGGAACTAAGTTAATGTATATTATTAAAAAATTTGCTATGTTAAGGTTGTTCTAAAAACCTTATCTAGTACAAATCCTGATCTAAAGCATTTTAATGTTTTCTCTTGAAAGTGTAGGGAAGGTTTTGCTTCTTGGAATCTGCTATGGAGTGGCAATTATGCAGTATTTAAATTTTTTGTAGATTACAGATTATAACTTGAGAAATTGTTATACCCATGAACAGTTTCTCCATGTGGAAAAGAGGAAACAATGTCAGGTTGTCTCATTCATATGAAAGGGAAAATTTTTCTCCATATGTGACAGCACAAAAAAAGGGTCTAACTGGGACATTTCTTAGTTTAAAGATAAATACTTCCAAAGTTCCATGTGGAACTCTTGTGTGCACCAAAAATTGATTTCCTGGTCACATCAACCATACTACAAAATTTTACTTGTACCTCTTTTGAGATAACATTGATAAAATTTAATTTGAATTTCCCAAATAGAGAGCATCCCAACTACTACTAGGAAGTGCAAAAAGTATGCTTGGCTGCATAGGTCCCTTTTTCTAATGCTGCATCACCTATGACTTATGGAAGGCATCTACTCCTTCCATTCCCCATCGAAGCATGAGTGCTAAAGGAAATGGTCAATACATGTTAAATACTACATTCTGAGGCCCAATGCTTGTGATCCTATCACTAGTCTAAATATAGATTTTCTTCAATTGAGGGGAGTGTTCCTTTTCCTCATGGATGATGTGAAGAACAGAAGGATAAATTCAAGGGTGAATGAATGTGAAAACTATTGCTCTAGATAATGGTACAATAAAATCCACCTTATATTGACCAGATATAGAAGGCATTTGCACTGTTCAAGCACTCTGAGTATCTCTGTTTCAATGTCTTGGACTTTTAATAATTGCATATCATCCCATAAAGAAAAGTTTAAAAATATGTTTGCCATCTGGCTGACCCATCAAGAAGAAATAGGTCTTCATACTTGCAAGGAGTATGACCAGATGAAGGCCATTCTATTTGTATGTAATGTTTGTAATGCAGCATCTGATTGAATGGATTTATGAAATTGTGCATTATCTGAATAGTATGGAACGGATATATGAACTCTAACATCACCTGGAAACCTTTTCTTTTTATAGCAGCATCAGCTTGCATAAATGCATGATCTCACACCTTGATTCCACTGGTCAGTTTTCTTCACAAACACTTCATAGACCCATTACCATAGTATGTTTGAATTGCTTGGAACTGTGACTTGTGACTCAAACTTGTAATTTATTATCCAGAAGAGAAAAAATAACTGTAAGCTAGAGTGGTTTGGAAGGATTTTCTATTTATTCTTCGGTCACTATGGTATATATATATATATATATATATATATATATATATATATATATATGACTGTTCAAAACTCCACTGAGCATTTCTTCCCTATTTTATGGCAAATTTAAAATATCTTATTTTATGGCTCTACTGGTGATGATGTAACTGAAAATTTCCATTGAGTTGAGGAGCTTTTTATGACTAAAAAGTTGTATTGTAAGTTTTTGCAGGTTGGCCTACCTTTGCCAATCTTCATCACCAGTGCCACCAGTGAATGCCTCATGCTGTTCTGCTGCTGTTGATGAATTATAATATGACTTCCTATTCTTACAGTACACTTTTTGTAAAACATGTTCTTCAGTTCTTTTTTGCATTTCACCCATCATGCAAAGTGCTCACATGGCATTTTTATAATCTCCTTTTCTCTTTGCTAATGCCTTCCATCATAGTGGGATATGTGGCCAAGAGTGTGGCATTTCTAGGGAAAGGGAGCAATAACTAGAATTTTCTATGGAACTTTCAAGGCAACTGGTAGAGAAGTCTCAATTGGAGCAAAAGAAAAATAAACTAATTGTGATATATATCTATGGAGTCAGTTTGAAAATGTGACTTATGGTGTGAATAAAAAATGGAATCTTTGAAAATCTTCATTCAGCTTTCTGACTTCAATCCAATACATGTCATAAGATGTATTAAGAAATGTGCCAAACTAGAAATGTGAGATCCTGTATATAATTCTTCTAAGACAGAAGTAAGACCAAACTGTCAAGGCAAGATCAATTGTATGACTAGTATTGGAATAATCACTATGACATGACTAGAATACAGAATTGAAGGTACACCAGACATTCTAGAAGTGATACATTCCTTTCAAAAAAAGAAAAACACTCCATGTGCCTGTTTGAGCTAGTATTTTCTTCTTTTTTCCCTTAGCTTGTCATCCTATTCTGTGATGACAGAAACTTGCATGTTGTTGGAAAGCTAGGTAAATACAGCTTTCCAAATAGAAACATGTCATTGTGGCATGAAAGGAACCACTCAAGGGAAATGAAAGGGCTATACCAGCTGAAAAATACCTTGATAGCAGAGAGATTTGTCCAGGTAAGGAACACTAAACATTACCATGACTAGAATACATAAGTGAAGAAATATCAAACTTGAGATTGAAAAAACCCTATTTCAGGACATTCAACTTGTAGATAAGATGGGACAGAAGGCAGTACAAATTGCTCCTTGAATAATTATCACCAAAGTGCAAGGCTTAATGCAACCTGAGACAACTTCATGGCATGAAACACCACTCCCACAATTTCTTTGCAAAAACTCATCGTCTTACCAAGCTGGCAATGTAGATCCATACTGACATGACCCCAGCTGGATATGAGTGAACATAGGTAGCAATGGAAAATTCAGTACCTGAACCCTCTCGCAGATGGATTCCAGTCCTTTGGACAGCTGATATTACTTCATCCATGTCTTTGTATCCGAAGTGTATAGGGAAACCATAGACCTGTACAGAATATCCAAAACATATACCACATCTCCACACGTTCAGATCTCTCAACCCAAAAGACATAACCCTTTTTGATTAGTGCTGACCAGGAGAATAGCATCATGGCCTAGTTTCAGCAAGCCTCCTTTCTTTTAAAAGAAGTGAGGCTCCTCTTGCAACTGCCTGAATGTGCATCCATGCCAGAATAAAGTTTTCATTAATTATGGCAGGAATCCTACTACTCTGAACACCACAACTCACAAATAGGATGAATTTCACTTTTTTTTGGTTTTCAGAAATTCATTCAGGGCTAACATTATTTCAAAATGCATATGAAATTGATAGACTTTCAGGGGAACATGGCTGACTGGTGGGCATGGATGCCAGCTTCTCTTCTGCCCCACTCAGTATTATCACAAATGACCAACTCCTGGCATTTTGTTGCATTCCCCTCCTCTCCCTTTCAAGCTCCATACCCCACATTATTTTCCCAGTGAAACCTATGAAGAGTTGCTAAAAGGCAATTCACTACAGGAATGGTCTTTTAAAGTCCAGTTTGTTCTTTGATGAGGTTTTAGGCTGATATTTTTATGCAACACAAGTAATTAGGTGACAATCACACCCAAATTATAATTACAGAGAGGTTTGCACATAGAGCATATGTAATGTACAAGATAAGCCAAAAAAAAGACCCTCAACTTTGAATTCATTTATCCCTACAATCACTGACTGGAGATATTTCCTTGCAACATGCAATCTGCTAATCCTTAGATGTTCCCAGGAGACTTGTAAAATTTCATCTAAATTCATTCTCCCAAAGTAAAGCTATTGGCACTGACTTGAAAGAAGTCTGGAACTGAAAATGGATAAGTGTCAATAATGAAAGTGAAGGGAGTCACACGGAGGAAAGGCTGCACATCATTGAGATAATATTGAATGTCTCTTCAATTAGGACTCATTCTTTTGGCTAGTCTTTGTTGAAAATGGTTAATTTGGTATAACACCACCCTTATTTTTGCACCTTAATCAGTATGACCAACTGTGGCATTATATCAAGGGTAGAATAATGTAAGAATGGAAATATTTTAATTTAAAATCAGTGGTATTTACTTATTCAATGCCTTGGTAGAAACCTTTGAAGAGAGCACCAGCAGTGGAATGAATAGACCTGATGTTGGGACTGGAATGTAACTTTGCAGTTGCTTTGACCTTTCTGGAATACTACTATTGTTCAAGTCATCATTCACACAATGAATGCATGCCATGTTACAATGAAAATTCACTAGAGAAGCACATGGGAGAAGGAAGACACTTCATGGAAACAATTAAAATACAATTTATACTAGACTGATCAAAAAGGAATGGAACTTTCCCTACAGCTAAAAAAATACACTCGTCAAAATTGTTGGCCACTCTGCAGGCATCAACTATGTTCACTTTGCAACTCATAGCAAAAATGTCAGTGGTCTTTCGTTTAAGGAACTCTGTTGGTGATAAAAAGAAATTACCATGGTCAGTAACTTTTGACAGATTTTACTGGAATGCCAGCACTGGAGCAAAGGGCAAAGATGAAGCTCTGAAAATCATTCACCGAGACTCTCGAGCTTTTGCAGCAAATGTACCTATGTACAGCAGGTGCTTGCTAAAGATATCTGTCCTATCTTTCCATCCCAATGGAAGAGCATCCATGGCTCACAATTGAGAAAGTCCTTTCTGCTCCCCAGGAAACGTGTCCTGTCACATTATGATCATAATGTGACAGGACACACAGAAAAAAATGCAGTTGTTGATTCAAATCAACAGCTGCATTTTTTTCCTATGAATTCATCTCTTCCACTTCCTCTCTGATTGCCACCTCAATACTGATTCATGTTTTAATTTTGTACAATTGCAAATGACCAGAGATTTTCCCTCAATTTGAATTTGAACTGGCATGTTGGTTTGATCTGGATTGTGATCCAAAAATTAGCCCTGGTGACATTAGTTTTTCCTCCTCTTTGTCTCTCAAATCATGACTTTGGATGGTAAAGATAAAAATGGATGTTATAATATATTGGTGAACCAATTACCTTGTATGCTCCAAGGACATCATGAAGCTTAGACAGATGCTCCTCAAGACTTCCTCTTTGCTGCTCCAGGTGAGGTAACAGAGACCGTAGGATGGCAGTGCAATGTCGATTCCAGGGAGTTCTAGCAAAATACAAAAGCAATGCTATCATTGTTTGACTCCCTTTCTTTCAACATGTAACTGCACCAGAGTTCAAAGCTAGTATTGTTGCATGAACATGCCTAAATCTTTTCCTCCAGCTCATAAAGGTGTCCTTCAGGCGGTTTTCAATGAGGTTCTGAAGCTCACTAGCCAAGCTCACATCAATTGGGTTGTAGGTGAAAGGATTTTGAACAGTTACAAGTGTCCCTCGTGGAAGGAAGTAGCTCTTCCCAAAGAATGGCTCCCAACAAGATGCATTGTTGACATCAAGGACCAGGAAACCAGGCTTATCAGATTGATATGGCTGGATGTTCATCCATACCTAGCATAGAGAAGTTCCTTTTCAGGTTAGATACCCTCAAAAAGTAAGTTTGATTCATACTGAGGCATTCCATCCCTTACATTGTCTGCATTGATGAGACACCAAGCTTTTGTCATTGGACAAAAAGGATCCTTGTAACTAAAATGCTGTCCTGTTTCAGGGACCCACACAAAATAATCCAAGTCTTCCTGTGTTACAACAAAGGCAGTGTGTCCATTCAGCTGACCATGTCCAATCGATAGCCAAGCAATTTTCCCCATGTGCAGAAAATAGTTGGTCAGTAGAAGGGCATGTTCTTTCACATCTCCATTCAACATCGACATGAAGTGCTATGAAAAGTCAAACTGACTCTTGAAACCTGCTTGATCTTAGCCTACCTTGAACAGGGAGAGAAAGAAAATCACCTCAGATGCCATCCACATCTCACAGTCTGTGTTCTGTGCAAAAAGGCTTCGTGTCACAGGAATCAGAGACACATAATATGCAACACGTTCATCAGATGTGCGTGCATCACTCTGATGCAGAACTTGCTCAGGTGGGGGAAGAGGAGAGACATAACGAGTTACAAACATGGATTTGCAGGTGATGTCCATAACTAGAAGTTTGATAAGTCGACCAGGAAATCTCTCATTATAATACTTCTCAGTACTGAAAGCAGCAGATATCAAGGCTGGGGGTTCCTCACTTGGATATTTTCCCTGAAAATATCAGCAGAAAAGGTGAAAATAGATTTAACAGCCATTAACCATCAAATAATGGAATGGATTACTAATCTTACATCATGTTTCTTGAAAGGCATAGCAACAGGAGGATTCAGAGTTATGAACAGTGACATGGTAATGTCTTGACTTGTGCCACTTCCTCCTTCCATTGGAGATGCAGGGAGCCCAGTTGGAGATGCCACACTGTGGACATGTGTCCGTGATTCCCACTCATATCCCAGTAGCACTTGTGGCACACCCATCAAGAATGTACCCTCCACCTATCCCAATGGGGTAAATGTAAAAAAGTATTTAAAAATATGCATTACTCATGGAAGATAGGTGCAAAAAGGAAGGAATATGAAGTCTTGACAAACCCTGGGTGAAGAGAGTAAACTCAACAGAGGGATTTTCAAGGATCCCAGCCAATGACGTTCCAGTCTCTGATGGATTGTTGTATCTCTCTCCCGGTCATCTTCGAGAATATCAATGGTCATCTCATCAAATAAATCCAGAGTTACCACTTCACCCATTACCTGCTGCCAATTTCCAGTCAGATCCTGTTCAAGCGTTCTATTAGAACCATGATGTGGACTCATTAGTGGACCTCCTTCTTAGTTGGAGTACAAAGAAAATGCGCTGCAATGTCTTACTTTAGGGGTATTATCAGCTGTTCATTCCATGTGGGTGAATTCCCCTCAGTTGAAGATGTTTTCACCTCCAGGTCCTCCACACTCACTTGCACAAAAGGCCGTACACTTGATGCCTCACAAAGATCATTCACTTATGGAAAAGACAGAGCAGAATTTCTTGTATTCATTTTCCACATTAGGCCCATGGTTGTGATTGCTAGAAGACTGGCAGCATGTGAACTCACCTACATCTGATGAACGAATGCTGTCCTGGTCTTTCCTCATTGGAATATTAGTTGCTTTGATGACATTGATCACAAGCTTCACATGTGTGAGGACAGACTGCTGTATATTCATCTTGCGCCTTTCTGAACGCATTGGATGAAGAGGACGATGAGAGGACAGGAGCTGCAGCAACTTCTCACCAATGACTCTGAAAATTAAAATTAGTGATACTAGTGAAGCAGTGAAACCCATGCCTCCATTTGCTATCTGTATCTCCTCAAGAACACTGAATCTTGATGGATGAGATGGATCAAAACCAACCCAATGTCTGGGACTGTCTCCTCGTACACAAGATCTTCCAGGCTTTTTGGCATCTGAGCCCTCTCCATGCGAGATGCCACCCACTTTTGGAGACTGCTCTGGATATAATTGATCCGCAAGTGATACCCTGTTATCTTGTCTCCAATTGTCAAGGAACTGAACTGCATGCTTCGATCTCCTTCCCGCTTCTCAAAATCCTAAAAATACATCCCACACCATGCAAACTCAAGCCCACTGAACATGGAGACCTCGTTTCCATTACTAGCTTTACTTTAGGCAGATCTATTTCAGCTACTCTGAAATTACCTGCATTCCAATGAATGCACAAGTTACAAACATAATGAGCGGCAGCTAAGACATCACTACTGAAGATGACAGCACAGGCAGAATGCATGGCAAAACTCATATTTACACTTGTGGGCACTCAACTGCATTTACCTTTAAATGAGTTTTTTTAAATCATCTTCGCATGGTTGACTATATATCCCATAATATCCCCAACCTCTATAAAATCTTGCCTACCTGCATGAATAAGTGAATTGTCTATGCAAGAGTGAATGCCCTCTAGATCACATTTGGTAGCCAGTGAAGCTCTGACTACCTCATCTCAAGGAGTCTGCCTGAATTGTCTTGGTTTAGCTTACAATCAGGGAAATTTGAACTTTTTTTGAGTTCACAGGATAACTGTTTTCAAAATCCAAGACAACAATTTTTCAGGGTTTTTCCTTAGGCCAAAAATAGAATCAGAATGCATTAACAACATAACCCAATGCCAGAGAGCCAGTCAAAAGTATTTTAAATGTTATTGATGGAACACCTCAACTCAAAGCATCTCAATTTAATGTTTGATAATCCCACCCTGAAGCCACATGGCACATTTTTTCTCTAAATTTGCTTCAATAATTTTATCACCTGAACAAGAGGAATTTCGCAAGATTACAGGGCAATCAGTAGTAGAAGGAGAATCAGAGGACTGTATTCTCTGCTCTCCCTTCTTAGAATTTCTCAATATTGCACTTATGGTAAAAATAAAAATAAGAAAATAAAAAATCTCCAACAGCCTAGGAGAGAAAGAGAAGCAGAAAATGTACATTTATTATTTGATATTAATTAAAGCTGTATGTTAGTACCTTTGCTGACAATGAACAATAAAAAGTGAATTTTCAAGGTGTAATTGAGCCATTATATATGTTTAACCATTATATACGTTTAAGTTTTAGATTCTCCATTTTTCTGTCATTCCTTCGTTTTTTATGAAAATTCCACGCTTCCAGTCTCTCCAAGTGAACAGTTATATCTAGAAATCTTTTGCAGATGCTGTAAGTAACGTGTGCCTGCCATTATGGAGCAAGAAGCCCAAAAGTTGTTGCACAAAGAGCCATCAAAATTAATAGTCTGAAGTTTAAATCAGGCCTGATCTGAACTGTTTAAAAAAGGAAGGTCATGTAATCATCTGCACTGATTTCTTGGATTCATACACTCCATAAGATTGACACAGGACTCACCCTTAACAGTGAGATAAGGTGGCGACCTGCTTCTAAGGATAAATCAGTAGGGATCTGACTGAGATGCTTAAATTCAGGGGTCTGCCTATTCCGCAACAGAAGAATCTTGAACCGTGGATCATCCAAGATTTCTGATTCATCAACAAACTCAGCAGAGGCCTGAGGATCTGCCAGTCGAAAGCAGTTAATGCTACCAGGATCAGAAGCATCTGACATTGCCTGAAAATGCAATGAAACATCCTTGCCTTCCCTTTATAATTCAGTGGAATATTGCTTGTTCTGAAAGTCATACCCGAATCACAGAGAAAATGGCTGAATTTTTGGGGTCATTGGGATCCAGGTGGGCAACTTCCATCCAATCAGCTAACTGTCGACTGCTCTGGTCACTCTCACCATCAAATGTGAAGAGAGGGCGAAAAATCTCTGACCTGAAGAAAAACATTGCTGATTACTACTTACAATGATCCTTCTGGGTTAGAGGCAAGCAGAGGCTTTGTTAGCATATTTTTCACCTTGCAAAGGTACGCTCAGGAGGGGGAGCCTTGACTTTCCCATTCTCATCACATCCCCAAAAGGCACGACAGAGAATAGAGCCAGAAGTGACAACTACCTTGGACCATTCAGGCTCCATCTCAAACTTGAATGGCATACCACACCCAACCCCTCCATTACCTGGACGGACTGTACGAGGATTGCTGAATTGTACCGTTTCATGTGGAGTTGTTGCCATGGTTGCATTACTGCAAAATACAAGCAAACAACAAACCAGGTTTGAAAAGGGTCATTTGCACTACAGAGGGACTCCTTACAGTATTGCATTTGGATAGAAAACACAAGTATCATCTTCACTACACATCCATTTCTTTGAGCCTGTCATGAGCAAGGAAAAAAAGGATTATTGTTCTGGTTCTGGTTATATGGGCAGTACATTCTGAACTATGCCATCCAATCTGGGTATCATGCTTTTTTTTTAAAGTGGGATCAAGAATAGGCAAAACTTCAATGATTACTATCACAATTGAAATTTAAAAAAACCTTCAGAATAATTTCTTACATATGAGGTATAGATATGGAGACTGCAGCCAATTTTTGAGTTTGAAGTCGTCCACCTTCCAGGACTTGAAGAATGATGCTGTCTGGACGTTGATACAGATGACAACTGATGATCTCTCCTATTCCAACAACAAAGTCTTGCCCCAAGGTTCTCACATGTGTTCGGCTCACTTCTTTGTTATTGATGATCAGCTTCACACAGATGTTGGCCTTGGACATGGCATTTCGACGCTGAACCTCTCTTCTGAAAAGGATTAAGAAAATCTATAAAGAAAGCCATTAAAGAGGCCACATCACCATGAGAGCACATTCACTTCTCACTTTGAGGTGACATTCTCTTGAGGGGTCACAGGCACTGATGATGTGAGTTTCAGTTTATAACGGGTTTCATTTGGAAGGAGACGATGGGTCTTAAACTGTTCCATGACTTCATGAATAACCCTGTCTCTTTCAAAAGGCTTCGGGCAAACAGGTTCCTTCTGTAAACTTGAAGACAAAATGTCTTCATCGTGACTTCTCAATTCTTCATTGTCATTTGGAACCTCATCACCTTCAAGACGTCGATCTTGCCTCTGCCGTGCAGCTTCCTAAAAGTGAATTCAACACATTGACTCATCAGCTTTAGCCATGTACTCAAAAAGGGTGATAAAAACAAACCCATTCTGTCTTGGTTTTGGTCCATTCTCTCAGCTCCTTTCGATAGTCCTCTAGCTGCATCTGAAACATTTCCTCATACTCTTCCTGTCGATTCTCCACTTCTGTCTCAATCTCCTGTTCCCATTTCCTCCACTCTTCTGCCTCTTTGAAGTCTGGATCTTCCAAAATTTGAAGTTTGAGCGATGAAGAGGCATAGCCCTGTTGTTCCCGCTTTTGCTTCAGGCACTTCCATAAGCCTAAAATCTTGGAGAACACTGATTTCTGAGCAGCAAACACCTGGTCTCTCTCCTCACAGGCACTCCTCAAGTCCTCTTGGTAATTCCGCATCCTGGCCTTCAGAAGACGGGACTTCTGAGAATCTCTGCCCTCCATAGACAGAACTTCACGGATGTTCTTGATGGCTTTTCTCAAGGCTTCCACTCGATGGCAGCAATGACCAGCACGATCTACCTTCATATGCCTGGCATACATCTGATACTGAGCATTAAGTTCTTGAGCAATCACATGCTCAGCCCCAAACAATGGATGGTGACTGAAGCTGATACTTGCAATGTCCACATCCAGAATATAAGATCCAGTCCCTGTGAGACTCCTCTGCTCCAGGTCAATCAACTCCTTCCTTAGAGGCTAGAAAATCACATGTTATTCCTAATTCAATGAGACCTCTCCAGGAAGTATACCAAAAGCTCTTGATTCCAACAACAAAAAAGTCATACGGGAAGATGAATGGTTTCAAGAGCATCAGGAATATCTCCATCCAAAGACATGTGAAATGCAGTATCTTCTAGGGGGTCTGGTTCCCGCACCAACTGACCATCGGGTCCAAACCATTGCCTGTTTCAGGGCAGAAAATAAGAAATTGAAGTCATTGCTACTGCATTGTGATATGACCTACTGACCGTAGGTAATCTCACTTTGCTGAGCTTCTCCACATACGATATTCCATTTTCTGCTTATTGAACTTTGAAACAGGAACCTCGCTGCCCACGTAAAACCCTTCCTCTTCCAAGAAATACGGTTTTGCCTGAGGAGAAATCCTCTCTTCAATAGGGACTGCAACAGGACAAGAAGAAAATTGAGGCATTGAAGAGCCGCGGTCTGGTACAACAGTTAAACGAAAACATAAGGATGTGATTCTGACCGTTTCGTGAAGGCATCAGAACGATGTTGGAAGGGAGTTTCTCGTCGAACATCTGTATTTGGGGCTCTTCCAGGAGATCACTCAATCGATGGATCCCGAGGTCATCTAGCTGGGAGAATTCCAGAAGTTTTTCTTCATCTCCCCCTACTTCTGGCAAGAGGATCCCTTCCCCTGATGCGGAAAGGAGGACATACACAACACCTTGATTGACGTCTTCTCAGACAACCCAAAGATGTCAACGTCTGAGACAGAGGTAAACATACCATGACTAGCTTTTCGTTGCTGCGCTCTCCTTCCGGGATCATCATCATCCCAGGTTCGAGTGAAGAAATCCAACGCTTCTTCCACGGTCGGGGTGCCTTTATAGATCACCTACAAGGAGTTCGAATTCGAAAAAGTTGGGAGATTCTACTACCGCATTTTCTGACATCTGACATGAAAACAGGATACGATCATTGTCTGCTGGAAACTTGTTGCCACACTTAACACATCATCGAGCTCCGATACCACAGAAATGCGGCTCGCAAAATACATTCATTCATTCATCCAGTGAGGTGGAACCTTCCTCTCTCTCTTTTTTTTCCATACATCCCAAGAGGAATGTGCTGAATGCCGGACAAAGCGAATTGGAAATCCGAACAAAAGAAGAGAAAGAGGGAAAAAAAAATCCCAGGAACAAAAAACCAGATGGAGAAAAAACTGCAAGAGTGACCAGTGTCCCATCTGCTGTTTGCTCGTGCATTTCGTGCATTGCACAAAAAAGCCGATAAAAAGAAGTGTCCTTACTCCACTAACCAGGATTGCAGAACATCTGAATGACATCTGTGAGAAGGACAAGAGAGACTAGCCACCTGGTTCATGGAGCTAAAGGATGGGGGGAAATCAGCTGCCTTCCCATTGTATGACTGAGAAAAAAAGCAAAGGAAGGGGGGGGGGGAGGGGGTGGAGAGAGAGAGAGAGAGAGGGGGGAAAAAAAACCGCCGTAACCTTGGGAACCCTGCGTGAGAAAACACGAAGTTCCTGTCAATCTGTTCTTCTGTCCCGCAGGCACTAGAGGTAGTACTTATAGGGTACGAGTTCTTCTTTCTGGTCATGTCCCTGATCCTTTCTTTGGCCTCATTCACGATCGTTTTATTGGCTGCCATGTACTTCCGCCTCGGAGCTCACCCACTTCTCGTAAGACAATGAAGCCAGCCCCCTCCCCCCCAAGGCTAAGGGTAGATAAAAATAAAAAATAAAAATAAAAAAAACTCGGAGGAAGGATTCCACTAATGCCCCGGAGGTGCCATGACCTAGCCAATCTGCTTATCTTCAATACCTCCACTAGGGCTCCTTCGATTGCAAGATCACCTGACAATGGCCCCTCCCCTCATTTCCCCCATTCTTTCCCAGAATGTGACCATGAATGTGAGGCGTGACGGATTCTTCGCTCTGATTCTTGAGGGCGAACCGATCGAATGAACCGACAGGGGAGTGAATGTGTGGGGCCGAGCGGAGCTACTCTTTTTTTTTGTTTCTTCCCTTCCTCCCTCTGATATAAATGACTTGAGGAGGCTGGTTTTCTCTGGCATGCAATGAGAGAGTTTCGTGCCAGTCCCCCGTCCCCCCTCCCTCTTCTGTCAACCCACACAATGTCACCTTCAGCGAACATCTTCCCTGTCTCATATCACTCATGAGAAAAAGGAATGAGTTCGGCAAAAAAAAAAAAGACCTCCTCGGAAGGGGAGGCAAGCTTCCTAGTCCTTTGCATCAGCAAACAAAATTTCATCGCCTGAGCCATGAGAGAAATGGGAGACAAATGAATATCTCAGGAATGACTGGAACCTCAAAAGGTGTGACGTTAAAGAGATGAAAGGCTCAAGGTGAATGGGTGTGAAGGTAAGAAGGAATTTGGGGGGAGCCATCTGCACGGAATCACCGAATGCCTTTCACTCCGGATCGTCTCTCAAGATGTGGTCATAATGAAGCAAGTGATGCAATCCATTGCACCTGGACCATGTTCCCATCTGTCTCGTTCCTCTTGTCCCCCTCTCGTCAAAAGACGAATTCAGGTTAAGAAAGGCTCCCAGCTTCAGTCATCGCATGAGTTACGTCAACATATAACACCCAGGTCTCCTTCCTCTTTCTGGAATCAAATCTCGCCCCTTCTCATCTTCGCGCTTTGTCAAGCAAGCAACTCTTGGGATGATGTGCACCAGGTCGGTAAGCTTAAATTTATTTGATTTCACAATGGTCCACTAATGAAACCGGTTTTGATGGAAATGATCTAATTGCAATGGACGCCCGTTAAGAAATCAGATGTTTAAAGTTAAACGGATATAATGCATATAACCTCGGTATTAACAAGCACTCAACTAGAATGCAATTCACTTCACAGCTCACTCGCAACTACTCAGTAAATCCCAATTTTCTCCACAGTCCTTATAGATACATGTTTAAAAAATAAACGAACTGCTTGTTGATAATAACTGGTCTAGCGTTTTCATTTACACCGAAAACTCTTATTTTTTGTTTTACATGTTAGAAGATTATTTGCTCTCTAAATCCCGCCGAATATATTTATTGATCAGTTGAGCAAGCTTAGGTAACTTTTTTTTTCTAGAAGCATCCCAAATCTTGCAGCTGCAATCATTAATGGTATCCAGCAGTTGGTCTTCTGTCCCGGCCTCCTGACTTCTTCTAGAAATGAACTCCAAGATGAGCACAAACCTGCTTCCGGGCAGATGTACATGCTTACGCAAAAAAGGGGAGAGGAAAAACGGATTGCACAACTGAAACTAAGCCGAAGAAGGAAGGCCGACACAGCCGGTCGAGCTGTCGGATAAGGGAATTGTGCAGCTGTAGGGGAAAATAGGACAAGTTTCCGGTGGGATTCCATTTGGTGTCTTACAAGAAATATCCTGGGAAGCAAGAACAAGGTCTGCTTCAAGGTGACGGCTGGGCCTCGGTCGCCAAATGACAGAATCGAGGATGTGGTATGTTACACATTGTCAGGAGAGGGAAAAAAAAAAGAAAAAAAAAGCGGGGAGTGCAATTTATAGGAGCATACAGTCAGCTGGGATCTCTCTCGTTTCCACACCCAGATGTCGTGTGAAGAAGGCCAGGCCAATATGGCCTAGCACCTTTCACATGGCGGTTCAAAGCCAAAGCGGCAGATGATGCCAAGCTGACGGCCCAACCCGACAAAACTCTCCCATAGATCCAATGAATTCATGTCGGTTGGGAAACATATGGAGTGTTAAGCCACGGCCATGCATGGACATCTGACTTCATCTTTCTCCCAGCGATGGAGCGACAGGCAGACAGACACACTAGGGTTGCCACCCGTTCATAATTGATATGGACAGTACATATTTCAGATGCAATGTCCATACTGCAAACTGGCCATAATATGGACACTGTTTTGTCCATACTTTAAACTTACGACAAACACACACAGCAACGGTAAAGGGGTGAAGGGGCAGACACGAAGCTATTTCCATTCCATAAGGCTACCTGTCCATTTGAATAAAGCTGGGCAGCATAGAACCACATTACTTGAACCAGTAGGATGATTTGTGAACACGAATGACCACAGGAGGTATCCGATTGCAAAGCAAACGAGTAGTGTTGCATCCCGAAGACAAAGAAACAATGAATCTTGACTATGACATCGAATGAGAAGGAAAAAGGCACAGAGGTCACGTTTCAGGAGGATTTCGTGACTGGGGGGGAAATTACTTCCCAGATATTAGAACATGGAGGAACATCGTGAGGAGTAATGTACGGGACTTCCAGTGCCCAATATGACCTAGTGGTTTTTGATTTCCTGCTGTGGTTTTTGTACCAGCTGAGGGGAACCCCTTCCCCACGAAGGACGGGAAGGTCTTGCCATCGAGTTCCAAGTTAGTCCGGAGAACGGAAATGGAAGGCAAGCTGTCAAGCAGAAAGGCACACCTGGCTTCAAGACTTTCCTCAATATACCATGTAGTGAAGTAACTTGGATGATGGCGAAGCAGATGTTTCCCATTAGTGGAAAAAGGCAATGCGGCATCCACTCTGCACTGCGTGTGTGTGTGTGTGTGTGTGTGTGTGTGTGCTTGAGACAAGATGATGTCTTCACTCTCCAGTGTATTTATGGCCAGTAGTTGCCATGTACTGAAACAAGCAAGCCATGTACTGAAACAAGCAATGTGGTAAGGGATACAGTGTGTAGAAATGCCAGCCTATCATCATGAGAAAATCTCCAATAATGAGGTACCTGCTCATGGCGAATGGAGAAAATCTTCTGAGAGAGTGCTCACAGGGAATTCACTCTTTAACAACGATGCAAAACGACTGAGACTCCCAAGAGCGAGACTCGAGAGACTTCATCATACAATCATCATATTTCAAACCGGAGGACTTCGGTTGCGAAGCAACCGAGGTTCGGAGGTAAAACATGTAGCGTGCACGATTCTGGCCATTAGCTCTTCCGAGTGAAAATTGTGTGTTCGTGTGTGTGTGTGTGTGTGTGTGTGTGTGTGTGTGTGTGTGTGTCTGTGTGTGTGTGTGCAATAGAAGAAACAAAAACAAAAGATGCACCCAGAGATATGCCAGATGCAAGGAGAGAACCATGGGCGGGAAATGGCGCTATTTTCGTGGTTCTTCAATCACTGAAGAAGGCAGGTTCTTGTTGGTAGCACCTGGGCTTTACGGGTGAGGGCAACGTTCCCGGCATTCCTCATTGCGTCAATGGACTCTCTAGTCAGGGGTGAAAGGAAAGGGGGAGCAGAGACTGGCTGAACACTTCCGAGACTCGCTTGAATACGGCTCCGCCTTTTTACCCTCATCCATCCCTCCTTTTCTCATCTTTTCAGTGCGATCTGGAAGGACCTGACGAGGAGAATGCAATCCCAGGTGCGTCCCGGGCCCCTGCTTTAGGCTTTTCTTTTTGGCTCCCCCCAGCTGCCTGTCCAATCCAAGCCCATCTACCAAGCATCCCACGTGTGTCCCACACAGCTGCTTCCTCTTTTCCTCTTTCCTCCTTCCTCTCCTTCTTCCTCTGCCTAGTTCTCTCCGGAAATATACCCGAAACCCCTTAAACGACCTTACTAAGAATCATCCAGTAAGGGCAAGAGGCCAAAGACCCTCACAATTCAAAGGAGAGCGGAACGGCAGTACGAGACTGACACCTGTTTTGTTTCCATGGCTTTCAAGTAACGGAGGAGAAAACGCCCATCGCTCGTCCTGCTAGGTCAGTCAAGCATTTCTCGCCCAGCTATACATGACTGTCCAAGGCGAAATCCTCGCCAGGTGGTGCAATCCCAAAAGAAACGCTACCGATCCCAATGGGCGTCTTTCTTTCTTCCTTTCTTTTACTTCCAGTTATTGGCTTACCTTTATTCCATCGATCCAGGCTTTCGAGTCCCTGCTTGGCTGCCTTCGCTTCTGACTTCCAGCCTGAAAGGCATATGAATATAAAGCAAACAATTCAAGCGTGCCTCACGAAATCTCTGAGGGAGAAAGTGCGAGGGGATGAAACGGACCGTAAGTTCCAATCTTGATGGGCCTAATTTCCTTAGGCTTCGAAGCCTACTTCGAGGGCGCAAAGATTCCTCTCTCACCAACATCGATTGGGACTCCTAGGATAGACAGAGTAATTAAAGATTCACAATTCCATGGGACCCTGGGAAAAGTTTGAAAGGAGGAATGAACAAATTCTAAAAATAAATATAAAAAACCCTCAAGTCAACTATTTCCTGGGAATGGGAATCAAAACTTACCCGTTCTTTTCTAAGAGTATCAACAGCATCTCCAGAAGGAAGCGGAGCTTCATGGACGCCCTCCTCTATCTCTTCCATAGCACTCATGACAGAACCATAACAACCATATTTAGTGTAACACGCAGACTCAGTTTCTAAACATGAGACTGTCAGATGGGATTCTGAATCCTGTCATTCTTGCTGCAGATTAGTATTTGAGACTGGGGAAGAAAAAAAAGGGCAGCCTGGAGGGATATATGCATCCAATTTAAAAATCATCTTCAAAATTCATGACATGAAAGCTAGAATTGCATAATCTAAGGGTTTGGCCTAATTCTAATACCCTTAGATTTGAGGCAACTTACATCACATCTCATGTATGTAACACCTTCAATTTTTCTACACACTGTATCCCTTACCACATTGCTTGTTTCAGTACATGGCTTGCTTGTTTCAGTACATGGCAACTACTGGCCATAAATACACTGGAGAGTGAAGACATCATCTTGTCTCAAGCACACACAAGGTGAATGAATAATGTCCACCATTAGCATCTGTCATCTTATCCTCCCATTCTTGCAACATACCATACTTAAGATTGTCCAGCAACCATGTGGTACCTTTGTTCATGACATGTGCAGTCATGCCTTCAGACTTCAGGTAGACCTCCACTACCATGGCTCCATCCATTTTAGGGATTGTAGCTACAATGCCTTAACCTCTTGGCATCATATTTTTTTTAATACTGAAAATCAGTTGTTTTCAAGTCTTCAATACTTTAATTTATTCTAAAGTGCAATGAAATAAATATAAAATAACTATTGCCATACAATTCAAACCAAACCCAATGTTTCTATCACAATTATAACATTTAAAGTACATTTTTAATGGAAGGAAGGTGCCATTACAGCATATGCCATTAAATTATGGCAAGGGGTTAAACTAGACAAGCTCTTGCTACAGTGATTCTAAAAAAAAATAACATGATTCACATTTTAATGTTTTTTTTGCATATGAGATTCTAAAAACACTAAGCTAAATGACTAAGATATGGTCACAATAAGAATGTATCTACATGGTGAAACATCTCCAAATATGAATTTGCGATGAAACAAGAGCATTCTTTAATGTGGAATTCCTCCACACCAAGGTCTCATCAAACTCCACTTTCCAAAATGCTTCTGAGAAGAAGGTAGCATTGTGAATCACTAAGCTCTAATAGGCCAAAGGTGTAGACAGAGTAGAAATCAATCAACACCAAAAAGCAGTGACAGTTAGCCCTTGTAAATCTACTAGACATCTGGTAGTGTAGGCAGGGGTATCACCAGCAACAGCCAAAAAAGAGCAGTGCAGAGACAGTAAAATTTTTTTCAAACTGTACAACTCTTATGAATGAAATATATGACTTTCAACGTGTATAGTATTGTAAATGGCTCCCAAGCATGGTGATGATGGCAATAATGTGAAAGCAGTAGATTATATTTTCAACAGTAATAAGTCATAGTCTCACTTCAGTAGCAATATAAATACACTGAATATTTGAATAAAATGAACATGGGTATCTCCAAACCCACATCAACACCATAAACTACCTTGCATTCACATAAAACTTGGATTTGGGTGGTGATGTCATGTCATAGAATTTTATTAAATTTCTTCAAAGAAACTGTTACATCAAATTACATCAATGGCCTAATTGAAAAAACTAATCTCAACTCCCACTGAAGATAAGATTATGGGTCCAACAAAATGGAACCACTGCACCATGAGTGGCTTGTGATATTTAATAGTAGTGGTTTTCTAATGGAAATAGGGTAGGTCCGGGCCTACCCAGGCTCCATTCACAACCCACTGCTGCTGAATATCACAAGCCACCACTGCAATGCATATAAGCCCAATACATGGGTATGGTTTATTGACATTCTTTGGTGATTGCATAGTGACTGCAGACATCATGATCACCTGTTTTCTTATCTCCACTCTCCTTACTGTAGGGATTTTTTATGGAAAGAGTGCACCAAAACAATACCCATACCTTAAACCTGGAGCCCAAAAGTACAAAATAGATGGACAATATTTATGAAAGTATGCTGGAAAAAGATGTGTGCTAACAAGCCAATGTTGGGTGTTTATAATTAGATGTGGGTCATTTTTTAGGTTTATTGTGACTTGAAAAATGCCATTACAATGTGAGTTGCAAGGTTTGAGGTAATGTGAACAATAAATTAAAATTCTGGATCTACAGCAAAAAGAGTATAACAAAAATGCTTCTAAATTGAACAAAAGCTCAAAAGAAAACCATATAAGAATAAATTTTCTTACTGGGGTGATTCACAAGTATCCTTGTCAGTAACGACCTGAAATTTAATGTATGAGCATTATGCTCATTCATTCTGTGCAATTGAAATGAATTTAAAAACCTTATTCTGCCATTTGTCCTTTTAGAATGCCTCCCTCTCCAGACTTATCTTGATACCAAATCTCTAAGGTACATTCATACCATATTTTTAAAGGAAAATTGGAACATAAGCTAATTAGTAATGAATGACAAAAACAAAATATCCAAGGCCACAGATATGCCAATGAAAATTGTGAGCCCCAACATGTCACAATGGATTACTGACAAACTTAAACTTCTGAGCAAATACATGACTTTTGGGGGGGTGTGCGTTTTTGCGCAATTTATTTTATAAGAAAAAAAAAATTCTGGGAGTTGTCAACATTCCCAGATAAAAATGGCCCATTAGTGGTAAAAAGAACCTTATAGTAGTCTAGTTTGCTAGCCGTCTCTAATGGAGTAGTATAGACAGTCATATAGCTCCATGAAGTCAAGCACATGCATCTTGACGAGCTTCAGGAATCACCAAACCATTTCATTAAGGGTTGTGGGCGAGGTAAGCGAAAAGCACATGACAGCGGCTCATCCAAGCGCGCCGCCATGTTCCACTCCGAGAGTTCCAGAGCACCTGCGCACACCGGCGTCTCATTCAAGCTTGAGGTACGGTTCTGATGAGGGATCTGGATGTTGTACTTAATTAGGATTCTGCTGATATCAGCTTGAATAGTGTTCAAACATATCTCTAGCTACTTTAAATATTTTAGGAAGCTATGACATGCGAGTGCACGACTTTTACCATGGAAAGTTGCAATTCATGCGAAGGGAGGATCTGTATGATGTCTGAGCCAAGGGCCGGCCCTAGCTATTTCGGCGCCCTGTGCAAAGAGACTCCCGAAGCGCCCCTTGAATGGAGAAGGGTCACTCCTTAGCGTTCAAATTGACGCCGAAACGGAAGGCATTTTCACTTTCTGAAGTAAAACTGAGGGTGACATCCATTATTGCTTCGGATATTTAGTCACGTTTTGGCGCCCCTGGTGAATTTGCGCCCTGTGCGAGGACATATGTGGCACATGCCTAAGGCCGGCCCTGTATCAGCCTAAAACGTTTGGACTAGCTACAAGGCACGTTCGGGAACTACTCTGTTCCGACGTGGAAGTTGAAAATGTGTTTTCTGAGCGAGACAAAGTGCATCATGTGAGTGTGCAAGAAGCGACAACGGCTGTCGTATAGCTTGACGTATGGGATGTAAAGGGGATCAGCACCTGCAGGCATACCTCATAAAGCACAGAATTATTTTCTTCTTTTTTTTCAACTCACCTAGAATTTTTCCTTGCGGTACACCAGAACAATTTTTCGTACGACAGAATTTAAGAGGGAAAGTACCAATGAAAATCCTTTTCCGTGGAATGGGCAACGTTAAGCAATTCCATCGAACACAATTCCTGCCCTCATTTCGCTTTTCATTTGTGGATGGAACAAGAAGAATAAAATCTCGATCAAAGCGAAAGAAGCTTTCAAATTACCCATTTCACAGATTGATAGCCGCTTTGCCTCTAACAGTGGTTCTGACATGTTGGTTTGGCGCAGTTGACACCTCTCTGAATGCTCACATTTATTTTGTAACAGGTGCTAAGGGTCATCCAGTGATTTCAAAATGGTGGCGCATCTGGAAACTTGCACCATGGAAGAGTTGCAAGCTGTGGTCAGATTTTTGAACGTAGAGGGAGTTAAGCCAGCCGAGATATATATTAGGATGAAGAGTGTGTATGGTGATGAGTTTATGCCACAGGCCCGTGTGTATGAATGGGTTCAGAAGTTCAGAAACGGCGTCAGTGATCTCCAAGATGTCGCTCGACCTAGACAGGCAAACCGCAGAATCACGCCAGAGACGATGCGCGCTGTTGCGGAGCTCATTCAAGGCAACCGACGCATCAATCTGAGAGACATGCAAAAACTGTTTTTAAAAAATTGACCCCGTCTCGTTTCCAGATGCGCCACCAATTTGAATTCACTGGGTGACCCGATATTCCTCTTCGAGGAAAAGTGCAACGATAATCCGGAGTTATCTGTTCACTGGGAATTGCTCCTTTTTTCTGTGGCGACTTTCAGGGAGGGTGTTGTCGAGAAGAGTCTCAACATTACCGGGAGCACGGAAAATCTTAGACCAAAAACCAGCGAGCTGTTTCGCACGTGAAGTCCTGATCGAATTTGCTGAACAGTTGAATCATGTCTAGCGAAGTATGAACGGTTTCATTTCACTGCACGAAAGTATTCCTACTAATGGTACTCCTGAATAAACAAGAAATCAATGTAATAAAAACAAAACGATTGGATAGCCCTCGGGTCTCCCGACAGCAAAACTACCCGACCGATTTCTTTTCTGATGGACTTGTCTAGGCAATGCTTATTTTGGTCGCAAGCATTGGGTTAGTGCTGGCGTTACTGAGAAGCATATTAAGGGAAGCAATGAAGCGATCTTGAAACGTGCAGGTGCGGACTAGTCCTAGCATGGAGTGGATGCTTCTTGGCTTTATATGACTGAGCGGGAAATGAAGTACTTGAGAGTACATGTATCCGGAAAATCCATTGGCTCCTGTACGATAAAATATATCGGCTCGATATCGAAGTGAGTACCTATAATATTCTTAGTATTCCTTTTAGGAGCATTAAGTTCCAGGCAGGTATAACTAAGCAACACTTTCAGGGAGATATAGTATTGATCTGAATAGACAAAATACGTCTTGACTCACCCCGTGACAAAGGCATAGCTCCCAGTAATTCTATGAATAAACAAAGATAGACGGCGCAGCAGAGTTCTTACAATTTTAAATTCCTAACTTTTTCGGCTTCAGGGGACTGGTGTACAGGGTTGTCGACAAGACCA